CATGATCTCTGGCCGGAGTCGATCTAATCATGATCTCTGGTCGGGGTCGATATAGACATGATCTCTGGTCGGGTTCGATCTAGACATGATCTCTGGCCAGGGTCGATCTTATCATGGTCTCTGGTCGGGATGGATCTGATCATGATCTCTGGTCGGGATGGATCTACTAATCATGATCTCTGGCCGGGGCAGATCAAATCATGATCTCTGGTCGGGATGGATCTAATCATGATCTCTGGTCGAGGTCGATAAAGACATGATCTCTGGCCGGGTTCGATCTAGACATGATCGCTGGCCGGTGCTGATCTAATCATGATCTCTGGTCGGGGTCGATACAGACATGATCTTTGGTCGGGTTCGATCTAGACATGAACTCTGGTCGGGTTCGATCAAGTCATGATCTATTTTCGGGTTCGATCAAGTCATGATCTCTGGTCGGGTTGGATCTAGTCATGATCTGTGGTCGGGTTGGATCTAGTCATGATCTGTGGTCGGGTTGGATCTAGTCATGATCTGTGGTCGGGTTGGATCTAGTCATGATCTGTGGTCGGGTTGGATCTAGTCATGATCTGTGGTCGGGTTCGATCTATTCATGGGCTCAAGACCATGGGCTCAGACCCCGTGGGGATTCCAGGTAAGAAAAGGTGCCCAGCTACATGTGCTGGTCGTAAGAGGCGACCAAATAGAGTGGGTGGTCAGAGGCATTGCTCACACCGGGGTAACACCAAACTCTAATTTACAGTATCGTACAGCCGTGATATCGCTGGAAGATACAGTCACTCCATCATGCAGGCCATACGCGCCCGGAACGTACTGAGTAGCACCATGGAACATGGCACAGCTTGGTTTGGAGGGAACACATGCTACAATTGATGGGATCGATTTCTTTACATAATGTTCGTAACATTATAATGTTATTTTTTTAACATTAGCATGTGATGCACCTACAGTAATTGGTGATTCATGAACATCAGGCTGCAGATCACGTTTCCTGCACTGAGGTCGGTGAACATGATTTAAACACATTATGTATAATGCCTGTGGTGTATACATGGAATTACATCCATGTATGTATCCACGGTGTATACAATTTGTTTCATATTTGTGTATACACGATGTATACATTATGTGGGAGATTATTAGTTGTGGTGTCTTTAGTTGCCGTATACGGTGCCATATTAGGTTAGCAGAACAATATTGGGCGAGGCGTCGGAAAAGTTTACACTAAGTGGTTTATATACAGCACTACTCTTCTAAACTTAGGTCGCTTACGTAAAGGGTCAAAGGGAGACTACTCTTCAAACCTTAGAGGCCAAACCTTGTCGACAATTTTATATATAATCTTTATCAGTAAAGTCACGGACGTGATTTAAAAAAAATAATTAATGTCCTTGCACATCATAATTAATGAAACAGTGTTGAATAACGAATTTCTGTACCAGAATTTTCATGTGAAATATGTGAAGTGGGTGTGTTGGAAAATCCAAGATGGCCGTTACTGACGGTAAACGGTCTCATATTAGCTCAGTAACAACCATCTTGGATTTTTACTGACGGTATACGGCTCATGTGGGGGTCAGTTGTTCAGCTCTCTGATTGGTCAGTCTCACTATGAGGCATAATAAGTGTGTGTATACGTTTATTAGAAGAAATACGACCTTCACATCGACGCTTACATTTATCAAACATCACCTGCAGATGGTCACAGAAAGAGTCCTGTTACTATAATAGATGTTAGGAGGCTTAAACAAAACGGGTTTAAAGGCAAGCTGATACAAACACTGCTGAACATGTATCTGATGATTTAGCCGGGCACAGCGTCCAGGCATCTGACATGGTGAGGGGAAATTGGGTTTAACGTCGCGTCCAAGATTATTGCACTTATATAGCGACGTGCATGCACGTGTATGTGTGTGTGTGGCTGCTTGTACTAGTCCGGACTGATGCCGATTTATAGTGCTAGCTCACTGAGATACCATGCCGCAGTTTAACATGAATACCCCACTCAGACACAGTATACGGACTCCGAGCTGACCAGTCCTTGTTTTAGCCCCTTAATGCCGAGCGCCAGTCAGGGTAACAACAAGTACAATCTTTTAACGTCTTTTTGTATGACGCGGCCCGGGATCGAACCCCGGACCTTCCGCTCTCCGGGCGGAGGCTCTACCACAAGACCACGGAGGCGGTCCATCTGACATGGGAGCGCCCCAGTGTGAATCTGGGTATCCCACTCTGACTTTGACATCGGTGATGTTTATTCTCAGACGGCGGACGGTTGCAGAGTAAACACACCCACACCTTCACATCGCACCGCCGATACGGGCACTGGAGTTAAGAGTCGATCTGCCACAGTGTGGCAGTGTTGACTGCGCTGTCAGGAGTCCCACTCGCAGAACACGTTCGTGAACCAATAACAACAAAGGAGGGGACGTTGTCGAGAAAATCACAACAAATATATTTTGAATATAAGATTTCAGGAAAGAATACGTATATTACTCTTCAATAAGTTCAATAAGACACGCTTATATAAGTTGATTAAGAGCGAAACCTGAGGAATCCGGACGCAACTTTAAATCGACCGGATTAATAGGTGTCCTGATTAACGAATCATGGATGCTAAGTAATGTTCCTTTGGTTAAATATAATACTTGCTGGGAAGGTAGAGTTTTCAGGCTAACGGGGTCCGTACTAACGAGGTATTTGATAATCAGAAATTAGTCATCCTCGATTATCCAGTGTATTATATGCATAATCGAGGTTGAAAACAAGTTTGATAATCAGAACATCATGAATGGTCATTTTCGTAAGCCCGTAAATAGCATCGGGTACTTGAGACATGTACTGCATTGAAGCTCGTGAATATTCGGTTAGAATTAATCTTCAGCAACCAAGGTTTGTCGTAAGAGGCGGTGTTGGTCAGGCTCGTTGACTTGTTTGATGCATGGCATTATATCCTAATTGCGTAGATCGATGCTCATGATGTCAATCACTGGATTATCTGGTCCAGACTCGATTATTTACAAACAGCCGTCATATAGATGGAATATTGCTGAGTGCGGCTTAAAACAACAAACAATCCAACCACATTGAAACCACCAAGTCAGTTCATGGAAGAGAGCTCTTGAAGAAAACTATGGTACCACCATCCCAACAGTTTGGGTCGGGATTTCTACATATTATCTTTAGTGCATATATACTCACACGCAAAAGAAACGCATGTCGAGTATGCAGTATACATGTTATTTATTTTCAATAGTAAAGACAAGAAATACTAATAGGGCAAGATTGACAAATATTTGACTGAAGACAGTTTAATGGATTAAAAGGCAGATGACATTATTCTTTTTTTCAAATGTTAAGGGCTTACACAGTTTTGGGTCAATACCCAAAATGTCAGTCAATACCTGGTGTGACCACCATTAGCATTGATCACTGCCACACACCTCCTGTACATTGAGTGGATCAGACGATTTGTGAAGGCCCTAGGGATCCTCCTGCACACATCCAGTGCAGCTGTGCGTAGTTGATCGGCAGTTGTAGGGACTGGGCGCCTTTGAACCCCATCCCACAAGTGTTCAATGGGGTTCAGATCAGGGCTGAGGGCTGGCCACGGTAGAACACGGATGTTGTGTTGTTGCAGAAAGGCCATGGTAGCTCTGGCAACATGGGGACGAGCGTTGTCCTGCTGGAAAATGTGTTGTTGATGTTTTGCAAAAAATGGAACAACGTGGGGTCTGATCACTTGGTCGATATGCCGCTGAACAGTGACGCCGTGTCCCCGACCTTGACCAACATTCAGAAAGCACATGGGTCCAAGTCTCGCATTAAGTCCAATCCCTGCCCATCTCATGACGCTAGGTCCACCCCATGGATCCCTTTCCACAGCGTTTCTGTCAGCGAAACGATCACCTCGACGCCGCCAAATTCTGACTCTTCCGTCTGCATGGGAGACACAAAAGCGACTTTCATCAGAAAAGATGGTACGCCTCCACTCACGATGACGCCAATTGCGATGACCCTGTGCCCACTGAAGTCGTGCTTGTCGATGCCGTTGTTGGAAAACAGGACGACGTGCTGGTCGGCGACATCTGAGGTTGTTGGAACGGAGTCGTCGGATCACAGTGTCCCTGCTGTGTCGATTATGTCTTCGTATGGTCTGTCGAGCACTTTCACTTGCAGCTAAGAACGGATGTCGACGGGTAATCTGCCGATCTTGTCGAGGTGTGGTGACCCTAGGACGACCGCTCCGAGGAAGGTCATCTGTGGTCTGTGTTGCATTGTATCGATGCAGGAGACGGTAAATTGTGGTTATGTTAACGTTGAAATGACGGGCAACATCTTGGACAGACTCTCCAGCAGCCTGGTTTCTCTGAATTTGAGTTAGGCGTGGCATTGTTGACCAAGGAGTGGTAGGTCCAAGAATCGGCCACAGTTTTATACCCACTACAGTTCGTGACAGTTCGTGCATTTTCCATTTCGCGAGAAATGGGTGCATGATACCCACATATTCATTGAAATGGTACGTTTTGGCGATTCGTTTTTTATGTTGCGTTTTTACTCGGGGCTTACAAAATGCAACCAAAAATATTGATAACACCATCAGGCTTCACTACATGCTAAAACTCGTATCAATTTATGGTTCCGTGTTTGTTACCTTATTGCTTAAAACCACTTGCGTTTCTCTTGCGTGTGAGTATATATATATATATAGATACCTTATTTCCTCCGTTGTAATCCATATATTGTAATTATTTACACAGGTGTTTTTGTATTTTGTTGCATTTCTCGATCTCAATACACATGGGCATATTCCATTGTGTATTGTAAACTCTTGATACACCCGCATACCTATATTAAGACAAACGATACTATCATTTCAATCTAATTTAAGTAATTTAGTTACTTTCGACTGATTTTATGAGCGCATCCGTACATTCAGTGCTTACAGAGTTACCTCCCATATACTTACTCTCTTCGCCCATTTGGTGGAAACAGTGTACAATGACAACAAACCAGGGGTGTAGCATTTTGTGAACAGAGGTTGTCGTGTGACTTTGGTGGTTCGCGACGGCAGATTTACTATTCGTAGTAGCTGAAAATGAGATGAAAACATTTCCTGAATATAATGATGTGATAATATTAGCAGGAGTCAAAGCTGATTGCCTGTGATGCATGACCTGACGGCCCGTGTGACTGGACTTCAGGTAGGACAGGGGTCCTTGTTCCTCCGTCTCAGTGGGGGGTTGGACGAAGGGAAAGACCACATGAATCTAGATAATAACATGCACTATGAAAATGCCCTCTATTGGGTGGATATGGTATCTTATTTTTACTGAAAACGCTAAGGGGTGTCAATCACCTTTTCAGGGGTGTTATTGAGGATTTGATAGGTGTTCTGTATCAAGTTCAAATTAACAACGTATCATTCGCAACTTACATTGCACTGAAGGAGTCGTTGTCGGCACGGGGACTACAGATATGTACCCCAGGTACGTTTCTGTATGCATCAATATACCCGAGCCAAAATCAGAATTCAACTAGGTACCCAGTACCCTTAACGGTACCCAAACTTGGGAATATTATTATTTTCTATATTCTTATTTTTTATTTTACCAAATTAAAGGCACAATTATTGACTATTCCCAGGTTCTATCAAACATACCCAAAAACCTGGAAAGATGCAATTCGAAATAATAACATTACGTTGTATAGTCAATATTTAAATACAACTTTGATAGACTTACTTGTAGAACCAGAAATTTAAATTATTATAATACTATAACTACAACAAATCCCCCAACAGTATGTGAAAAATGGGATATCATTCTTGACTTAGATATATCATGGAAAGATGTTTTTATCAGATACAGAAAATGTACAAAAAATGTAAAATTACTTGATTTTCACTATAAATGTATTCATTGCATCTATACAAAGAAAGAACTTCAAAGCATGAGAATTCTCGATGATGATCTATGCTCTTTCTGTGAAACTAATACTGAATTCTTACTTCATGTATACAGGGATTGCAAGCATGTTAAAGAGTTTGGGGCCAAAGTAAAATGTTTTCTGAATGCAAAATTAGAAACCAATTGCACACAGTAACAATACAGACAGTTTGACAGAAAATGGTTACATTTGGCAAATGAACTGTCTAGTAATATATCTCACTATTTTGAGCATGAACAGTTTCCACTAATGTGCTTTAAGGATTGAGCTTCACACTTAGTTAATGATGACCCCAATAAGCACGGCAAACGTAGCTTGCTAGTTTCACCACCTGTTAACATGATATTGTACACCTGTGTCCTGACTAGCCAACTATAATTTGCTATTTCTGTATATGTATGTAACCTACACCTAATAAGTATAATGTTACATGTCATGTAACTCTATGTGACAATATGTAACATCATGTACTAAATTGAATAAGATATATTAAAAAAGAAATATATTTACCGTATTCGACACCCCACTCTAATAAGCACCCACAGCGATATTTGCTTATCTATTGGCTGGTGAACAATTCCAACTGGCACCGCTTCCGATTGATCAATGTACACAAGACTTATTTCTATGTGTATAACACACACTCGTGTGTTATACGCACCCTTAATTACGGGCAATTCAATTCTGGAAAAATATGTTTGTCGTGTATAATATGCACAGACTTTTCTTTTGTATCATTCAGGCTGTCAGCATAAACCTCGAAATTTACCATCTTTCAACTCTGGTTTTTTTTTCACCAAAATTCTAATAAGAGCCTCCTATTTTTAATTTTAAGAGCGCCCTGGGCACTTATTACGTCGAATACGCTATTATTTTTTGGCTATTTTCTTAATGAGGTCATTTACAATAATTAACATTTTTGACTCCAGTGAATATGATCCATGTTCCTTATCATGCTTATGATCATTGTAGCACAGAATTAAATTTATGATTAGAAGCACAGTGAATAATATTCACTTGGTAGGTTTGTGTAGAATTTAGTGAAATAAATGCAGAGAGTCTTTTCCTGGTTCCGATTTTATCTTGCTCATCCCTTTAGCTGAGGTAGGAGAGCCAGATACAGGAAGATGTCAGCATCTGCATCAGCACAGCGGGTCGCTGTACCCACCCCACAACACCACAAAATAATCCAGGATATACAGGGTAAGTTCTGTTTGATTTAACAATATGGAACATCAAACTATATATTCATTATCATTGTTTTATTCATGTTATTTTTATCACTGACTATACATCCTTCCATGGTTATCCTGTGTGTTTTCCTGAGTATTTGTGGGCTGCGGAGGGAAGTCCTTATCCTGCCAGATATTCAGGTCGTACTTCAGCTGTCCTGTACATTGTATGTTGAGTAGTACTGGTTATATTGTGGCTTGCTCCAATCATGAAGTTATTGATTTTTCTTACATCATTAGGAAACCAGTATTATGTACCATATTTTGAGAAAAAAGTGTTAAAATGTAAACTTAGCACTGTTGTGCTTAATTACAAGTACGGATTTTGAGATCTGTATTTGTAACAACTCAAACAAATCTTAAAAGCTCCAACGAGGAGCTGGGACTTATTAGCATGGCTGGCTGCCTGTGAGCTGATAGGTAGTGCCAACAGCTGGGTACAGAATATACACAATCGTTTCATTAGTGTTGTATATATACTGAACTGCAAAAGAAACGTCACCATGGAAAGATATATGAGAAACATTTTTTTGTCCAAACACTGTAAACATACTTTGAGACGTATTGAAAAGATGAAACTTGGCAAAACTGATCATCAAGGTTGAAATTAAAGTGTCAAATGTTCTTAAAGGGGAAGTGTACACGCAAAAATCACTTTCTTTCTTTTTCTAAACAAAACGCAATTTTAGAATTAGTTAGTATCTGTGTTTGAAAATATACGCTCATTTTTTTTCACAGTGAAAGTAGGAAGCTCACAATAGTGTTAAAATGATATGTCGTTATGAGGCCTTCGTTTTACGAGCGAAACAGGCCTGAGTTATCCCCCTTAGATTATGACGTAATTGGTGCCAATTCAACTGGGTCCCTGTCTATTCTCAACGCAAAAGATATCAAGGACCAGTTTGCGGTAAAACAACATGGTCTACGACACACTCCGGCGCAGTGGTGACTCAGCATAACACAATTCTGGCTGGCATCTGAGACGCTAGAATCACAAAACTGTACCTACACCACGTGAAGCGGCTCTAACAAAGCATGATGACGTCATAATGTTTATCAATTGGCACCAATGACGTCATATTGCAAGGGGCATAAGCCATGGTGTTTTTGTTGTGGAAATAGAACACTTGGTAAATGTGAAAAATATAAATCGTTTTAATGCAAAAAATATGTTAATTAAATATGATGTTTTTATATTTTTGTCTATGACACTTCTATGTTAACACTTTTAATGTGGAAAAAGTACAAGAAAAATTGGTTCATTTCCGTGTGAACTTGCCCTTTAAAGTGAAACACAACACTAGTCTCTGAGAAAATGGCATCACAAGTCAGTATCTCGTGTGTCTGCCATGTGCCTTGATGACTGCCGGTGGTCTGGTACCGTTGTTGGAGCCTGTATATGGTCATTTCGTGGCTTTGAAATGCATTTGCTACTTGTCCAGCTTGCAATCGTCCATAGGCTTGGTGTCGCTGATTTCTTGTCAGCCTTGGCATGTGGTAGCAATTCAATAAGGAATGACTGTTATCCGATCTGGGTGGATTTTTATAGCGCAAGAAATGGGGGAATGCATGTGCATTTCAACTTGCACGGAACTCAGGTGCATCGGGTTACCATGGCCGTTGCCGTGATGCGTTTGGGCGATCGGTTTTATTGTCATCTGCTTTGTTGTTTTTTTCATCAAATTTCATTTTTCCGGACAACATGGACAAGGTAATGTTAAATTTTAGAAACTTTGACAAAAATTTCCCAGATATTTAAATGACAACTTTTCATGCGATCTTACTTGGGGTGACGTTTCTTTTGCGGTTCATTATATATACCCATTAGACTTGCACTTTAATATACTGGACAGTTGAGGATGTTATGCATGTTACATGGGTGTTTTCATCATGTTGGCCCTGGTGTAGGTCCAAGGTCTGTCATACTGGCAGGCTATATTGTCCTGTTAATCTCATATTACTGTGGTGTAGGTCCAAGGTCTGTCATACTGGCAGGCTGTATTGGCCTGTTAATCCAATATTGGCCGTGGTGTAGGTCCAAGGTCTGTCATACTGGCAGGCTGTATTGGCCTGTTAATCCAATATTGGCCGTGGTGTAGGTCCAAGGTCTGTCATACTGGCAGGCTGTATTGTCCTGTTAATCTCATATTACTGTGGTGTAGGTCCAAGGTCTGTCATACTGGCAGGCTGTATTGGCCTGTTAATCTCATGTTGGCCGTGGTGTAGGTCTAAGGTCTGTCATACTGGCACACTGTATTTGTCTGTTAATCTCATATTACTGTGGTGTAGGTCCAAGGTCTGTCATACCGGCACGCTGTATTGGCCTGTTAATCCCATGTTGGCTGTGGTGTAGGTCCAAGGTCTGTCATACTGGCACGCTGTATTGGCCTGTTAATCCCATGTTGGCCGTGGTGTAGGTCCAAGGTCTGTAATACTGGCTGGCTGTATAGACCTGTTAATCTCATATTGGCCCTGGTGTAGGTCCAAAGTCTGTCATACTGGCACGCTGTATTGGCCTGTTAATCCAATATTGGCCGTGGTGTAGGTCCAAGGTCTGTCATACTGGCAGGCTGTATTGGCCTGTTAATCCAATATTGGCCGTGGTGTAGGTCCAAGGTCTGTCATACTGGCAGGCTGTATTGGCCTGTTAATCTAATATAGGCCGTGGTGTAGGTCCAAAGTCTGTCATACTGGCACGCTGTATTGTCCTGTTAATCTCATGTTGGCCGTGGTGTAGGTCCAAGGTCTGTCATACTGGCACGCTGTATTGGCCTGTTAATCTCATATTGGCCGTGATGTAGGTCCAAAGTCTGTCATACTGGCACTCTGTATTGACCTGTTAATCCCATATTACCGTGGTGTAAGTCCAAGGTCTGTCATACTAGCACGCTGTATTGACCTGTTAATCTCATATTGGCCGTGATGTAGGTCCAAAGTCTGTCATACTTGCACGCTGTATTGACCTGTTAATCTCATATTGGCCGCGGTGCAGGTCCAAGGTCTGTCATACTGGCAGGCTGTATTGACCTGTTAATCTCATATTGGCCATGGTGTAGGTCCAAGGTCTGTCATACCGGCACGCTGTATTGGCCTGTTAATCCCATGTTGGCCGTGGTCTAGGTCCAAGGTCTGTCATACCAGCACGCTGTATTGACCTGTTAATCTCATATTGGCCGTGATGTAGGTCCAAAGTCTGTCATACTTGCACGCTGTATTGACCTGTTAATCCCATATTGATATGGTATGATGTTAATACTGTAATCGTTATTTGCTCCTGGTATTCAGACGTGATGTTAACGTATTTATTGTTTCTCTTCCCGGTGTTCAGGCTTGATGTTAATGCAGATATTTTTGCCCTTCTCAGAGTGCATCAAGCAGATGAAGGACGACTTCAGTGAGACAAAAGTCCCCGTCAATGATGACAACCAAACGCTCCACAGATTCTGTGCCAAGCTGGAGTACCTCTTGCAGGCCAACATGAAAGGTGAGGCAGTAAACTGCTGTAATAACGAACATACTTATAACCAACTGACGGATATCGTGAACTGTGTTTTGTGTGTCCCGGACATTTATATGTACATGATGTAATGTGTTTATGTGGAAGATGATATATCTGTTACCATGGTTACGTGCTTACATGGAAGGTAATATATCTGGTGCCATGGTTACATGCTTACATGGAAGTGGTTATGACTGTTACGAAACTTAGTTTCTGTTACATCCTGAGGTCCTTAGTTTACTGTGTATCTGTTACCATGGTTGCCGGCTTCAATGAAGGGTGATATATATAATGTTTGTGTTGCTATGCTTACATGAAAATCAACATGTCTAGCTATGTTTTATATCAAATTTCATATTTTTATTGTCCAAGTTTGTTATACCTGTTGGTTCACCATTGCTAAGGGGATAAGTTGTGTTTTTATTAAAGCACACAACACTCGATAAATCTTTTTTTACACTATGAATCAACTACTACTCTTATCTTTTTAAAACTCTGAAACATGCATCGTAGATCGTGTTAGGTAGGCAGAGCATGTACAGATGTGTTGGTCATCTTACCCCTACGACTCCACCTCAGTTAAATGTGATTGTCTTTAACGCTCATCAATTATTTAGACCCCAAAGGTAGCGTTCTAGCAAGGGGTCACTGTATGACTGTTATGGTTATTGGCGTGTAAGGAGATATGAGCATGCGAAAGGTCATTAACCCCTTACAATGCTAAACGGAAGACATGTTATTGTAGACAAAGCTGTTAGTTGTGTGTATACGAAACTGGAACATTGTTTCTTGTGGTAGCCTAGTGGATGAAGCCTTCGCTTGTCACGCTGAAGACCCAGTTTGATTCCCCATATGGGTACAATGTGTGAAGCCTGTTTCCAGTGTCACACCATCATGTTGCTGAAAAGTGTGGAATATTGCTAACAGTGTCATGAAACCAACTCACTCATGTTGTGTCTGTGTTGTCAGTTGTTATGGGATTGAACTGGGTGATACAACCAAGGTTTTACCTTGACTTACAAAAGTGGGGGTTCAGGAGCCCCAATAATCAATGTTAAGGGTCCTTGCAGGCAAAATGAGGGTCCTGTAAAGTAATCAAATGGTGTAGTGTACTGCATGTTTAAATAATTACTCTGGAGCCTGGAATGAATCAGTGATCATGTGGACAGTGGTCATTATTGATGGATGAAATAACAGACACCCATAACTATGGTTCTCTTGATGCGCTGAAGGTACAATGAATATTATTGTGCATATATTTTATGTCTGCATCCATTCTCTACATTTGTGTGTGCTGGACGCACGTTTGTGAGTCTCGTGAAACCCTGTACAACTTCAGTCATCGGAGGAGTAAAGTGTTGTTTGGATCAGACTTGGTAGCATTGCAGTAAGCCTGTGTCTATAAGCCTCCCAGTGTGTAGACCATCTAGTTAGGGGTTTGCTGGAGTGCCACGTGACCGCTAGCATTGCAATAAGCCTGTGTTTGTGAGCCTTCCAGTGTATAGACCATCTAGTTGGGGGATTGCTGGAGTGCCACGTGACTGCTAGCAATGCAATAAGCCTGTGCCTATAAGCCTTCCAGTGTATAGACAATCTAGTTGGGGGATTGCACGAGTGCCCTGTGACCGCTAGCATTGCAATAAGCCTGTGTTTGTGAGACTTCCAGTGTATAGACCATCTAGTTGGGGGTTAGCTGGAGTGCCACGTGACTGCTAGCAATGCAATAAGCCTGTGCCTATAAGCCTTCCAGTGTATAGACCATCTAGTTGGGGGTTTGCTGGAGTGCCCTGTGACCGCTAGCATTGCAATAAGCCTGTGTTTGTGAGCCTTCCGGTGTATAGACCATCTAGTTGGGGGTTTGCTGGAGTGCCACGTGACTGCTAGCAATGCAATAAGCCTGTGTTTGTGAGCCTTCCGGTGTATAGACCATCTAGTTGGGGGTTTGCTGGAGTGCCACGTGACTGCTAGCAATGCAATAAGCCTGTGTTTGTGACCCTTCCAGTGTATAGACCATCTAGTTGGGGGTTTGCTGGAGTGCCACGTGACTGCTAGCAATGCAATAAGCCTGTGTTTGTGAGCCTTCCGGTTATAGACCATCTAGTTGGGGGTTTGCTGGAGCGCCACGTGACTGCTAGCATTGCAATAAGCCTGTGTTTGTGAGCCCTCGGTGTAAAGACCATCTAGTTGGGGGATTGCTGGAGTGCCACGTGACTGCTAGCAATGCAATAAGCCTGTTCCTATAAGCCTTCCAGTGTATAGACCATCTAGTTGGGGGTTTGCTGGAGTGCCACGTGACTGCTAGCATTGCAGTAAGCCTGTGTCTATAAGCCTCCCAGCGTATAGACCATCTAGTTGGGGGTTTGCTGGAGTGCCACGTGACTGCTAGCAATGCAATAAGCCTGTTCCTATAAGCCTTCCAGTGTATAGACCATCTAGTTGGGGGTTTGCTGGAGTGCCCTGTGACCGCTAGCATTGCAATAAGCCTGTGTTTGTGAGCCTTCCGGTGTATAGACCATCTAGTTGGGGGTTTGCTGGAGTGCCACATGACTGCTAGCAATGCAATAAGCCTGTGTTTGTGAGCCTTCCAGTGTATAGACCATCTAGTTGGGGGTTTGCTGGAGTGCCCTGTGACCGCTAGCATTGCAATAAGCCTGTGTTTGTGAGCCTTCCGGTGTATAGACCATCTAGTTGGGGGTTTGCTGGAGTGCCACGTGACTGCTAGCAATGCAATAAGCCTGTGTTTGTGAGCCTTCCGGTGTATAGACCATCTAGTTGGGGGTTTGCTGGAGTGCCACGTGACTGCTAGCAATGCAATAAGCCTGTGTTTGTGACCCTTCCAGTGTATAGACCATCTAGTTGGGGGTTTGCTGGAGTGCCACGTGACTGCTAGCAATGCAATAAGCCTGTGTTTGTGAGCCTTCCGGTTATAGACCATCTAGTTGGGGGTTTGCTGGAGCGCCACGTGACTGCTAGCATTGCAATAAGCCTGTGTTTGTGAGCCCTCGGTGTAAAGACCATCTAGTTGGGGGATTGCTGGAGTGCCACGTGACTGCTAGCAATGCAATAAGCCTGTTCCTATAAGCCTTCCAGTGTATAGACCATCTAGTTGGGGGTTTGCTGGAGTGCCACGTGACTGCTAGCATTGCAGTAAGCCTGTGTCTATAAGCCTCCCAGCGTATAGACCATCTAGTTGGGGGTTTGCTGGAGTGCCACGTGACTGCTAGCAATGCAATAAGCCTGTTCCTATAAGCCTTCCAGTGTATAGACCATCTAGTTGGGGGTTTGCTGGAGTGCCACGTGACTGCTAGCATTGCAATAAGCCTGTGCCTATAAGCCTTCGAGCGTATAGACCATCTAGTTGGGGATGTGCTAGAGTGCCCTGTGACTGTTGCAGAGCGGTACTCCATGCTGGGTCGGAGGAAGGACTACTGGGACTACTTCGTGGACTGTCTCGGCTCCACCAAGGGCATCAACGACGGCATCAAATATGTCAAGTCACTGGGAGAGGTGTGTATCGTCATCAGCAAGGGAATGTGATTCTCAGACAAATGGGGGAATTCACGGGAAAGTATGGATTGAAGTTGAATATTGCTGGAACTATGTGTATTAGAATTATGGGAATAGATGATGCAGATAATGTTTGATATGCTTTGAGATCTGTATGAATGTTTGAAGCGATAAGTGGTCTCCTGTATCCATGGTGTACTGGCTGGATACTTTATGTATGACCGTGTGTGTAGCTACTAGAAATACTTACCAGTTCCCATGAGATGCCTGTATTGTGGATGTGTTAGATCCTTACTGTGTGTTTTGAAAGACTAAAGTCAGATTGATTTCTTTCTCACAGCATAAGAGTTCATTGGGAAAGGGCCGAGCATTCCTGCGCTTTTCTCTGGTTCATCAACGTCTCCCTGACACCATCCAGCAGTGTGTGCAGCATCCCAAAACAGGGTCAGTATACTGTGTCCGTAGAGGGGGGTAGTAATATCACACCAGTATCAGTATACTGGGTCCGTAGAGGGGGGTAGTAATATCAGACCAGTATCAGTATACTGGGTCGGTAGAGGGGGGTAGTAATATCACACCAGTATCAGTATACTGTGTCCGTAGAGGGGGGGTAGTAATATCAGACCAGTATCAGTATACTGGGTCGGTAGAGGGGGGTAGTAATATCACACCAGTATCAGTATACTGTGTCCGTAGAGGGGGGGTAGTAATATCACACCAGTATCAGTATACTGGGTCCGTAGAGGGGGGTAGTAATATCACACCAGTATCAGTATACTGGGTCCGTAGAGGGGGGTAGTAATATCAGACCAGTATCTATGCAGTTGGGATGGGCAGGATTTGGATGTGAGAAGGGTTGGACCAGTATATATGGGGTTGTGATATCGTTACTGAGGGTACCAAGATCAGGCCAGTTGCAAGGGATAATGATATCAGACCATTTGCCAAGGGTAGCGATATAGGCCAATCGCAAGTGGTAGTGATGATGGGCCAATTCCTGGGGGTAGAGAATATAGAATGTTAAATGAGCTCCCATGTAATACTAATTTTATACCATGAGTGAATAGTTCTGGTACCTGACAAGTGGACGACTGCCAGGAGAAAAGCAGCAGTACCTCCCAATGTATCAATAACACATAGTGGTGTGGCAGTGATCGTTAATGATAATCTACTGGTGAGGCCTGTCCCTCGGTATATGGTCATAAGCATCTACTGTGTTCAGAATGTTTAATAGAGTTATTGTCACAGGAATGTAACTGCATGTTCCAGGGAATGGTTCCACCCCCAGAGTGTGTGGTACCAGAAGGGGCTCAGAAGTGAACTCATCAACTCTCTCTATGACCTCACTGACGTGCACTTTGACCTCTCGCCTCGAGGTTATGACCTTGACACGGCATGGCCCTCATTTGCCAAGTAAGATAAAACAACAAAATGACACTAAAAGTTTCAATGACTAAAGTAAAAACAAAACAAAATCATGTCTCAAGTGTATTTTTTATCTGTATGTGTTAGATGGAGTCAGAATTAATGTGTCAATTTCAGATTTATTAACTTATGACTGATGGTACAATTTTAAGATAGATGATGAGGTATTTCCCCCTATGTGACACAGAGGTAATGCCTTATGTTTGTTTGTCCCCAGGAAGCAGGGAGGTAACTACACATGGAACCCACCCAGCCGGCGCTCCAGCATCGGCAGCATGGCCTCCATCAGCATGCAGGTCAGTGTCAGGACAACAACTTGCCCTCTAGTGTCAGTACAACAACTTGCCCTCTAGTGTCAGTACAACAACTTGCCCTCTAGTGTCAGTACAACAACTTGCCCTCTAGTGTCAGTACAACAACTTGCCCTCTAGTGTCAGTACAACAACTTGCCCTCTAGTGTCAGTACATCAACTTGCCCTCTAGTGTCAGTACATCAACTTGCCCTCTAGTGTCAGTACAACAACTTGCCCTCTAGTGTCAGTACATCAACTTGCCCTCTAGTGTCAGTACAACAACTTGCCCTCTAGTGTCAGTACAACAACTTGCCCTCTAGTGTCAGTACAACAACTTGCCCTCTAGTGTCAGTACATCAACTTGCCCTCTAGTGTCAGTACAACAACTTGCCCTCTAGTGTCAGTACAACAACCTGCCCTCTAGTGTCAGTACAACAACTTGCCCTCTAGTGTCAGTACAACAACTTGACCTCTAGTGTCAGTACAACAACTTGCCCTCTAGTGTCAGTACAACAACTTGTCCTCTAGTGTCAGTACATCAACTTGCCCTCTAGTGTCAGTACAACAACTTGCCCTCTAGTGTCAGTACATCAACTTGCCCTCTAGTGTCAGTACATCAACTTGCCCTCTAGTGTCAGTGCATCAACTTGCCCCCTAGTGTCAGTACATCAACTTGCCCTCTAGTGTCAGTACATCAACTTGCCCTCTAGTGTCATTACAACAACTTGCCCTCTAGTGTCAGTACAACAACTTGCCCTCCAGTGTCAGTACAACAACTTGCCCTCTATTGTCAGTACATCAACTTGCCCTCTAGTGTCAGTACAACAACTTGCCCTCTAGTGTCAGTACAACAACTTGCCCTCTAGTGTCAGTACATCAACTTGCCCTCTAGTGTCAGTACAACAACTTGACCTCTAGTGTCAGTACAACAACTTGCCCTCTAGTGTCAGTACAACAACTTGCCCTCTAGTGTCAGTACATCAACTTGCCCTCTAGTGTCAGTACATCAACTTGCCCTCTAGTGTCAGTACAACAACTTGACCTCTAGTGTCAGTACAACAACTTGCCCTCTAGTGTCAGTACAACAACTTGCCCTCTAGTGTCAGTACATCAACTTGCCCTCTAGTGTCAGTACAACAACTTGACCTCTAGTGTCAGTACAACAACTTGCCCTCTAGTACACATCTCAAAGGTCTTGTTGAATGTACAATACAGCCAGTACAACTTACCTAACTCCATACTATTTTCAGTCTACTTGAGTGACACTTTGGAGTAAGATTGTGGCTGTCATTCAAGAAAATAATACATAGAACAATTGTCTTTGTCTTGTGAAGTAACATATTTGTCTCATCTAGTGACCTGCGCCAACATATCAACTTTGCAGATCACTTGATGAGATAGACATGTAATCGAGTGCACACCGATCCATGGACTGGGATAATAATGGTTTCATTAGCACCATGACCATTGTCTAGGTGAATGGAATCGGGCACATAATAAATGAACTGCCCATTCATATTTAGATCACTATTTTGCCTTTTATGCCCAATGGAATCTGTTTCTGCAGATAATCGAGATCTTTGATGTTGATATTTACGTTGCGTTGATGTTTTGAATAGGTATTATTGATTGTCTGTCTGTGCCACAGGATACGTCAAGTCTGCTGAGTATGCCTCTCTATGCCGACAACTCCAGTGAGGTGGATAAGCTCACACAGGACCTGGAGACGTCCGAGACAGTCCGGACACAGCTCATGGACCAGGTCAGTCATAACAAGGGGCTTCAGTGCATAGAAAGGGTTCTCACAATGAACTCCATTTGTCAAGTGTCCCGACACCTCAGATGGTGGTAGCACTATGCCTATGTGTCTGTTCCAGTACAGTGCTAAGGTCATAAGGTCCCCAGTAGATGTCAGTGTGCATCAAGGTCTATGAAGCAAAATCCTGTGTGTGAGTGTGTGTGTGTGTGTGTGTGTGTGTGTGTGTGTGTGTGTGTGTGTGTGTGTGTGTGTGTGAGTATGTGTGTGCATGTGTGTGAGTATGTGTGTGCATGTCTTCTATATAATCATTCTCTTCTGCATGTTCATCATCTTACTGAGGAAAGCATGTCCACTAGCCGATATCAAAGCCTAGTTTCTACCCTTGCCACATCTAGGCCACTTTTCTTGGCTCGACCCTGGCGCCACCTAATGTGGGTCACAAGTTGTGCCCCTCGTAATGAAAATGCGATATCCAATCAGATCGCTGTTCTTATCTCTATAGCTTCACAAAGATGGCGACTACCATAGGTGACGATCTATTCGATCAGATAACGAAAAATTTCATACCTGACACAAAAGCGTCAGCAATCCTTGAGGGGTTTAAAAGATGAAAAACATTTTAATGTCAACAAAGACAGGCAGCGGTAAGTCACTTTCATTCAAAGGTGTACCAATCATATATGTTGATTTTGTGAAACGTTCTCTGATTGGACTATCGATATGTATGATAATCCAATCATATTTAGCACAAGAAAGTGAGCTTGATGTAGCAAGAGTGGAAACAAGACTTTGATAAAAAGGCTAGGGGATGCTTTTGCCTCTGGAAGATGGGAGTTCATCAGCACATAGCTGTCCACGTATGTTATGGGGTGTCACACGAGGGCCAGTGGCATAAGGCACAACACTTAGCTACCAGGATTTACTGATCAAGGTTTGGAATACAACATATTCTTGTGTATTTTTCAAAAAAGGTAAATATCTGCAACATGTTTCACTTTGGGCTTTTTCCCCCCTTTAGCTGTAACATGCTGTTGACAGCAGACACTCTTGTAAATATGTTTGCTGCGTGTGATGCATGTGCCTCTGTCATGTTGTGTGTTTCTCTCAGGTTGGGTCCCTTCAGCAGGAAAAGATGGAGGTGAGTCAGTCGGCGTGGTCCACGCAGGGGGAGTTGCACGCCGTGCAGGAGCAGCTGCGAGACCTCCAGGAACAGCACACAGACCTGCAGGAGCGACACCTCCAGCTGGAGAAGAGGCAAGTCTGGAATAACTGATCATGTCAATGCCAGTGAATGGTAATGTCGGTACCAATTTAATGTTAATGTCAATACCAGTTAATGTCAATAACAGTTGATGTTAATGTCAATACCAGTTATTGTCAGTACAAGTTAATGTCAATACCAGTTAATGTTAATGTCAATGTCAATACCAGATAAGGTTAATGTCAATACCAGTTAATGTTAATGTCAATACCAGATAAGGTTAATGTCAATACCAGTTAATGTTGATGCCAGTTAATGTTAGTGTCAATACCAGTTATTGTCAGTACAAGTTAATGTCAATAGCAGTTAATGTTAATGTCAATGTCAATACCAGTTAATGTCAATAACAGTTGATGTTAATGTCAATACCAGTTAATGTCAATAGCAGTTAATGTTGATGCCAGTTAATGTTAGTGTCAATATCAGTTATTGTCAGTACAAGTAAATGTCAATACCAGTTAATGTTAATGTCAATGTCAATACCAGTTAATGTCAATAACAGTTGATGTTAATGTCAATACAATTAATGTCAGTACAAGTTAATGTCAATACCAGTTAATGTCAATAGCAGTTAATGTTAAAACCAGATAATGTTAATGTCAATACCAGTTATTGTCAGTACAAGTTAATGACAATACCAGTCAATGTTAATGTCAATGCCAGTTATTGTCAGTACAAGTTAATGTCAATACCAGTTAATGTTAATGTCAATACCAGCTAATGTCAATACCAGTTAATGTTAATGTCAATACCAGCTAATGGTAATGTCAATACCAGTTGATGTTAATGTCAATGCCAGTTGATGTCAATACCAGTTAATGTTAATGTCAATACCAGCTAATGTCAGTACCAGTTAATGTTAATATCAATGTCAATACCAGATAAGGTTAATGTCAATACCAGTTAATGTTAGTGTCAATACCAGTTATTGTCAGTACAAGTTAATGTCAATAGCAGTTAATGTTAATGTCAATGTCAATACCAGTTAATGTCAATACCAGATAATGTTAATGTCAATACCAGCTAATGGTAATGTCAATAGCAGTTGATGTTAATGTCAATGCCAGTTGAAGTCAATACCAGTTAATGTTAATGTCAATACCAGCTAATGTCAGTACCAGTTAATGTTAATATCAATGTCAATACCAGATAAGGTTAATGTCAATACCAGTTAATGTTAGTGTCAATACCAGTTATTGTCAGTACAAGTTAATGTCAATAGCAGTTAATGTTAATGTCAATGTCAATACCAGTTAATGTCAATACCAGATAATGTTAATGTCAATACCAGTTAATGGTAATGTTAATACCAGTTGATTCAATACCAGTTAATGTTAATGTCAATGCCAGTTGATGTCAATACCAGTTAATGGTAATGTCAATGCCAGTTGATGTCAATACCAGTTAATGGTAATGTCAATACCAGTTAATGTCAGTACCAGTTAATGTGTAGCATCTTCTTTTTAGTGAGTGACTACATGTAGTTTTACTCCAGTCGGCAATATTCCAGCTCTATCACCATGGCCAGTGGAAAACTGAAGCAGGACCTTTTTCTGCCCTGGAATTAAACATAGTGTCTGGATCAACACAATGGTTCACCCTCATTATCTCAGCACTCATTATACCTGGATGCTGAAGACTCAGTATACCTGGATGCTGAAGACTCAGTATACCTGGATGCTGAAGACTCAGTATACCTGGATCCTGAAGACTCAGTATACCTGGATGCTGAAGACTCAGTATACCTGGATGCTGAAGACCCAGTATACCTGGATGCTGAAGACTCAGTATACCTGGATGCTGAAGACTCAGTATACCTGGATGCTGAAGACTCAGTATACCTGGATGCTGAAGACTCAGTTTGTCCTGAACCCCCTGCCCCCATCTGCTGCTTCCACTCCCCATACACTATAAACCTACTTTGAGTGAGACCCGTGAAGATGTGGGGTAGAATAGGTCTTCAGCAACCCATGCTTACTGTAAAAGGCAGCTATGCTTGTTGTAAGAGGTGTTTAACGTGATTGGATGGTCAGGCTTGCTGACTTGGTTGATGCATGTCATCATATCCCAATTGCATTGATCGATGCTCATGATGTCAATCACTGGATTGTATGGTCCAGACTTGATTATTTGAAGACCCCCATAGCTGGAATATTGCCAAGTGCAGCGTTAAACAACAAACAAACAAACAAACCAACAAAACTTCATCCCTGTTGACTGTCACATTTTTTACTTGGCATGATGTGATGCTCAGTGAACTTGGACTTGACATTTAAGAAGTGTTAGAAATTGGTGGAATCTCACCGCTGAGAACTGGTCATGATTTTGCACACATAGGCCAGTCACTGATTGTCATCCATTACTTAAAGTTTTCCTCTTATTTATATATCAGAGTGCCTGTTATTCATGTGTAGAAAATACTTGATATCCCCCAAATCAAGGAAAAGATTAATCTTGTAGCAGAATATTTTGATGAAAAAATATTGGATGTACCGATATCAATTTGTGTTTTATTTTCTAGACACGACAAGATGTGTATTGAAAATGGCAGTACAGAGAAGGATTGGCAGACCAAGGAGCAAGATCTGACCAATCAGCTGCAGGCTCTCAAGGAGCAGAAGGCAGAGGCAGACGGCCAGCTGGAGCAGGTCAGGTCACAACTGGATGATGTCAGGAGGGAGGTGGCGGCCATTAGTGAGAGGCACAAAGAGAAAGTAGAAAGACTGGATGCTGAGAGAACAGAACTACTTGTTCAGACAAAAGCTTTGGAGAAAGAGATTTCCTTGACCTCTGAGTCGGAGAGAAGGAAAGGAGAACAGATTGAGTCACTGGAAGTAAAGGTCAAGGTCGGCGAGGAGAAGAACACAGAGTTGTTGACCAAGTTACAAGAGTCTCTGGATGGCAAGGAATCGAAGGCTACAAGTCAGCTGGAGGCTGCCAACAAGCTGCACGAGGTAGTGGCCAGTCTGAAGGAGGTGGAACTAGCTAATGTCAGACTTCAGGCAGCTAATGAAGAATTGACAAAGAAATGTGAGCAGATGGAAAAGGATGTGGAGACTGTTGAACAAGTGAAAAGTGGTCTTGAAGAAACTGTTTTAAAAGTGAAACAAGATTCAGAAAAAAACATGTTGATTTTTCAAAATGAATTGAAAGATTTGACTGAATCCAACACAAGAACAGTCGAGTCCTTGCAGGCAGATCTCATGGGAAAGAATGATGAAGTGGATCTAAAGAGATCAGAAATAGATAAACTGTCATCAGAGGTTTCAGAACTGAAATTGAAATCTGGGGTTAAGGACAATATGCTTGTTCAGTGTTACACCAAATTCAACCTTCTGGCAGGTTCAGACAGTATTGATGACGTCGATGGCAGTCAATTTGAAGTTAATAATTTCTTGGGTGATGTCAAGTTGTGTCAAGAAACAATCTCAAAGAAGATGAGCGAGATGAGGGAGGAAATCCAGCAGCTGACCTTGGAGAAAGGTCAACTGGAGTCTGAGCGGGAGAAGCTAGCAAGTGAGAAGGAACACATCATGGACAACCTGGACGAACTGCGTAAAGCATTTGGGGAGTTCCAGCAAAGCAATGAGACACAGCAACGTGACCTTGACCTTGTCCATGCCCAGACGGAGTCAGAGCTGCGTCAGTCAGAGCTGGAGCTGCAGGAGAAGGAAGCTGAGCTGAAGAAGTTGTCAGGTCGGCTTGATGAACAGAAGGATGCAGTCCTGGATGTCCTTCATACATGTCGCATAGATCAGGTCAGTCAGTCACACAAGTAGCAGATGTCCTTCAGACATGTCGCATAGATCAGGTCAGTCAGTCACACAAGTAGCAGATGTTCTCAGACATATCTCATAGATCAGGTCAGTCAGTCACACAAGTAGCTGACGCTCTCAGACATGTCTCATAGATCAGGTCAGTCAGTCACACAAGTAGCTGACATTCTCAGACATGTCGCCTAGATCAGGTCAGTCAGTCACACAGGTAGCAGACGTTCTCAGACATGTCGCCTAGATCAGGTCAGTCAGTCACACAAGTAGCAGACGTTCTCAGACATGTCACCTGGATCAGGTCAGTCAGTCACACAAGTAGCAGATGTTCTCAGACATGTCTCATTGATCAGGTCAGTCAGTTACACAAGTGACAGATGTTCTCAGACATGTCGCATAGATCAGGTCAGTCAGTCACACAGGTAGCAGACGTTCTCAGACATGTCGCATAGATCAGGTCAGTCAGTCACACAGGTAGCAGACGTTCTAAGACATGTCTCCTAGATCAGGTCAGCCAGTCACACAAGAAGCAGATGTGTGGTCCTGCAGGTCAGTCAATCACAGAAGTAGCTGACACTGTCTGGAGAACTGTTATCTGTGATACTACAGACAGATAATATAGGGGATCGATTCTTTTGGTTTATTCAGTTTCTTTCAGGTTTGGTCATGTGAACTCATGGATACTCCTGATGGTCAGTATTGTACTTTGAGGACCACAAGCCCAGCTGGAATAAAACTTGTCTAGTTCTTGCCAAGTTCTGGTTGTGTTTATGTTTGAATGTACATTTGTTGTCAGACTTTCTGTAAACAGATAAGTACAGGACTATTTTCTTATTAAATGTTTTTAATATTGTACAATGATGATTACAAATGATTTTTAAGTAGTTGTTTTTTATTCTAGGATTCTGTTGATGCATCTGACTGTAGACAAACAATATCTTCAATATCGCTGCACGTTCAGAAGCTGTCAACCAAGATCTCCGACATGGAAAGTGAGAAAGAGATCCTTCAGGGTAAGCTGAATCATCTACAAGCAGGAGAGTCAGATAAAGGGACACAACTCCAGAACCTGGAAGAGAAATTTTCTAGTTTACAGAAATCACTAGGTGATGCAAGAGAACTTGAGTCAAGCTTGAGAAGTGATCTGACAGAGAAGGAACGACTGCTGCAGGACCAGTGTTCAAATTACTCCGATCTCACGACCAAACATGAGAAGTTGGTAGACAAATGTTCCAGCTTGGATGAAGCAAATGAACAGGTGAAATCTGATAATATTTCTCTCAGGGAAGAGGTAACAACTCTGACCCATGATCTCAATGACCTCAAGGTCACCTTTGCAACTACCAATGAAAAACTGCAAACAGCAGAAGATTTGAAAGGGAAAGATGCTCATCATCAGGAGGAGGTGGGCAGGTTGAAGGATAAAGAAATCAGTGAGAAGGAGAACATAATCAAGTCGGTTGAAAATGAGAAACAACACTTGAAGGATGATTTAGAAAAGACATCAAAACTAAAATCTCAAATAGAGAAAGAAAAAGGAAATTTGGAAGGAGAGGTCAGTAAGGTGAAAACACTTCTTAGCTCCTCCCAGAACGAATGTCAGAATCTTCAAGGATTGATTGTCAAAGAGCAGACGTCACGACAGGAGGTAGAACAGAAGTTGAAGATCAGTTCTGAGGAGGTCATGACTCTCAAAGTATCTGTTACTGATGTCCGGACGGAGCTGAAATCTCAGGAGGAGAAATACGAGGAGATGATCCAGACTCATGAGAAGGAGAGGAACCAGCTCAACACTCAGCTGGAGGAGGCACTCAGTGACACACAGATCATCAAGGCTCAGCTGAAGGAGACATCAGATGAACTGGAACAAGCATGTTCCTTGAAAGAAAGAGCAGAACAAGAGAAGGAGGAGGTGACGACTATCCTCAAAAACCTGGAGGCAAGCTACCGGGAACTGAAGGCGAAACTCAATCTGTTTGAAAATGAGGGACAAGAGATTGCTTCTGCCAAAGAGAGTATTGAAAAAGAGAAGGAAAGTTTGATGTCTGAGTTAGATAAATTGAAAGAAAGGTTGAAAGATCTTGAGATTGAGAAAGATGTTACAGTGACCGAGAAAGAAGAAGCAATAACTCTTCTGGAGGGAAAACTGGAAGAGTCAAAATGTCAGTTGGAACAATTTGAAGAAAATGTCCTGACCCTGGAGAAAAACAAAGAGACATTACGGGATCAGTTACGAGAAGCAGAAGAAGACAGGGAGGGTTTGAAGAAATCCTTGGATCAGGCAGAGAAAAATATGGGTGAGAAAGAGAGCAATAATGAAGAACTCCAGATGACTGTGCTAAAGCTGACCAGTGATGTTACAGAGTTGGAGAAGTTGCTAGAAGAGAGGTCAAGGAGATGTGAGGAACTAGAGTCAATGTCTGGACAACAGTCAGGCTTGCAGACACAGATAGAGTCTCTCAACCAGGAGATCTCAGCTCTCCAGTTCCAGCTCAGCTCAGAGCAGATGCAGCATGAAGAGTCACTCAGGGTAGGTGGGAGGGTCACTCAGGATAGGTTGGAGGGTCACTCAGGGTAGGTTGGAGGGTCACTCATGGTATAGGAGAGAGTCACTCAGGGTAGGTGGGAGGGTCACTCAGGGTAGGTTGGAGGGTCACTCATGGTATAGGAGAGAGTCACTCAGGGTAGGTGGGAGGGTCACTCAGGGTAGGTTGGGGAGTCACCCAGGGTAGGTGGGAGGGTCACTCAGGGTAGGTGGGAGGGTCACTCAGGGTAGGTGGGAGGGTCACTCAGGGTAGGTGGGAGGATCACTCAGGATAGGTTGGAGGGTCACTCAGGGTAGGTGGGTGGGTCACTAATGGTAGAGGAGAGAGTCACTCAGGGAAGGTGGTAGGGTCACTCAGGGTAGGTGGGAGGGTCACTCAGGGTAGGTGGGAGGGTCACTCAGGGTAGGTGGGAGGGTTACTCATGGTAGAGGAGAGACTCACTCATGGTAGAGGAGAGAGTCACTCAGGGTAGGTGTGAGGGTCACTCATGGTATAGGAGAGAGTCACTCAGGGTAGGTGGGAGGGACACTCAGGATAGATGGGAAGCCAACTCAGAGTAGGTGGGAGGGTCACTCAGGGTAGTTTGGAAGGTCACTCAGGATAGATGGGAGGGTCACTCAGGGTAGGTCGGAGAGTCACTCATGGTAGAGGAGAGAGTCACTCATGGTAGGTGAGAAAGTCACTCAGGGTAGCTGAGAGAGTCACTCAGGGTATGTGGAAGAAGCTCAGGGTAGATGGAGCATCTTGAGTGTATTGAGGAATCACTCAGGCTAGGCGGTCTATCCCAGGTAGAGGAAATATCCATGGTACTGGTAATTAAACTGATCAGACTTTTTGTTTTTTTCTCTCATGATAACTGTCATAACATATAATTATTAATCATTCCAGCATCTCTGGTTTATGTCAAGTTAACATGATGTTTGCTAATGCTCAAATAATGCTGATGCTTTGATTTTACATGTGATGTGCTATCACCTCACACAGAGTATGTATTTGTGATTCCAGAGTTACACAGGTCAGGATGATGAGGTGACCGAACTGACCAACAAACTGGCTGAACAGGAAGCAACTATCGTGCATCTAGAACAGGAAGTGACATCACTGCAGACAGGCCGAGAGGAGGAGACCAACAAGGTGACTCGACAGGTGTGTTCAGACTGTAAACATTCAACATTGTTGACAGCTGACCTGACAGATCTGTTCACACTGTAAACATTCAACATCGTTGACAGCTGACCTGATAGGCGTGTTCACACTGTAAACATTCAACATTGTTGACAGCTGACCTGACAGATCTGTTCACACTGTATACATTCAACATTGTTGACAGCTGACCTAACAGGTGTGTTCACACTGTAAACACTCAACATTGTTGACAGCTGACCTGACAGATGTGTTCACACTGTAAACATTCAACATTGTTGACAGCTGACCAGCCAGGTTTTTTCTTCTAAAGTAGAAATAATGATGAAATAGAAAATATTATTGTTCTTACACCTTGATTTGACCCATGTTATTTTATATGTTTTTTAAAAGATTCTTTGGCCAATTATGATTTGGAACTTTATACATTTTTCTGGTCCCAGGTAGCCCACTAATCCAGTTGGTGTATCATTGTGTACCTGGGTTCAGTGGTTGTTACATTGATTATATTCCTTGGTCGGATAGCACTACACCCTTGCTCCTGGGTTTCACTGTCGTGATAAACATCTAACGCTTGCATCACTGTGGCTTTTCTTCCTCCAATCAGGACATGAATAGCTGTAATACTGCTGATGCGGTGTAAAGCACCCCCGATTTCTAATTTTGAGAGCGCCCTGGGCGCTTATTACGTCAAATACGGTATCTCAATAACCATGACATTAAACGTCCTTGAAACATGAAGCAGCCTCCTGGTGTCTGTGATCACTGGGTGGCTGACAACGGATGACTTTATTTCAGGTTGAAAGTTTGACTTCACAGTTGAAAGAAAGGAATGAGGACAATAACAAGCTGACAGAAAAGCTCCAGATGGTACGCATTCCTGCTTTGGCTCCACTTTCAGGATGTTTCTTTTGGATTTGTATCATTCCATGTATGATGTGGATCCATGCTTTTCATGTTTTGTTTTATTTGGATCCATGTTGTTCTAAGTTCTATTTGGATCCATGTTGTTCTAAGTTCTATTTGGATCCATGTTGTTCTAAGTTCTGTTTTGATCCATGTTGTTCTAAGTTCTATTTGGATCCATGTTGTTCTAAGTTCTATTTTGATCCATGTTGTAAGTTCTTTTTGGATCCGTGTTCCTTGTTTTAAGTGGATCCATGTTCTAAGTTCTATTTGGATCATGTTGTTCTAAGTTCTATTTGGATCCATGTTCCTTGTTTTATGTGGATCCACGTTGTTCTATGCTACAGACTGAGACGGAGCTGGTATCGGAGAGAGATGCCCGAGAGAGGCTGGAGGTGAGGCAACTGTAGCACACAGCCAGCCCAGACTCCTGGCACTGAAACTTGAAACGATTGTCCAACTATTCAAATATTGAAAACTAGTTAACATGTGACTGCTGGTACAGCTCAAACATTACAGTTACAGTTCTGTTACATGTATAATGAAATGTCTATCATGCAATACTTTGCTCCAAGCTTTCTGTTATTGGTAAGTTAAAGCTTGTATGCAATACATTCAACAGGATAATATGAAAGTAATGTCCAAACTTATTAGGACGCATGTCAACAGAAATCTCTAAGAGTGGCTGTCTCAGGTAGATATTACATGTGAACATTATTTAAGATGTGTTTGAAAAGTGAATGTATGTGCCTCTTGGATGTGTGTGTTTATGTGTATTCCCCTATATGTTGCTGCAGACTGACATGGAGTCTGTGGAGGAGAAGTACAGCCAGCAGCTCCAGGACAAGGATGAGGAGATCACAGGGCTGAAGGCCGACATGAAGCAGCTCAAGCGGAAACTGCTGAAGCTGATCAAGTGAGTTGGGTGGATGTTGGGGTGGGTAAAGTGGTGGATGGAAGGGTGGATATAGGGGTGCATGGAAGGGTGGATATTGGGGTTGATGGATGGGTGGGTATAGTGGTGGATGGAAGGGTGGATATAGGGGTGGATGGAAGGATGGGTATAGGGGTGGATGGAAGGATGGGTATAGGGGTGGATGGAAGCGTGGGTATAGGCGTGGATGGAAGGATGGGTATAGGGGTGGATGGAAGGATGGGTATAGCTGTGGATGGAAGGGTGGGTATGGTGGGTATAGGGGTGGATGGAAGGGGGGTATAGGGGTGGATGGAAGGGTGGGTATAGGGGTGGATGGAAGGATGGGTATAGGGGTGGATGGAAGGATGGGTATAGCTGTGGATGGAAGGGTGGGTAGGGTGGGTATAGGGTTGGATGGAAGGGGGGTATAGGGGTGGATGGAAGGGTGGGTATAGGGGTGGATGGAAGGATGGGTATAGGGGTGGATGGAAGGATGGGTATAGTGGTGGATGGAAGGGTGGGTATAGGGGTGGATGGATGGAAGGGTGGGTATAGGGGTGGATGGAAGGGTGGATATAGGGGTGGATGGAAGAGTGGATATAGGGGTGGATGGAAGGGTGGGTATAGGGGTGGATGGAAGGGTGGATATAGGGGTGAATGGAAGGGTGGGTATAGAGGTGGATTGAAGAAGGGTTGGGAGTACTGGACAAAGAAATGACAGGGCAGGAGGCAAACAAACAAACAACTCAATCACTGTCACTGTAACAGTAAAATGGATCTCATCTAAAGGCCATGCATGTTGTAAGGGTTGTATTCTAACTATACATACAAATGAGCTGTGATAAATGCCAGCTCCCACCTGTCTCCCCAGGGACAAGGACCAGCTGTGGCAGAAGACAGACCAGCTGGCCTACCAGCAGAAGGTGCAGGCCAAGGAGACATGGATGGACAACAGCACCGCAACAAACTGCCTGAAGTGCAAGGCAGAGTTCTCCATCTGGCTCAGGAGGGTAGGCCTGTTACAGACAACAATCATCCTAACTTCCTGTCCTTGGATCTATCAGTTCACTACCACACTGATCTATGTTGTGTATGAGGTTATAATTAGAACTGCACAGTATTACTGGTTTACCGGTATACTGCAAAACACTTTTCAAACAATACGTATTGCAATATTTTTTCTGTGTTCTGGTATTTTGGGTAAAAAAATATGAAATATGTAATTAATTTTCCATCAACTTGCTGTTCCAGGATTTGTGAATCATGGGTTTGAGTTTTGATTTTGATGCAATACAATACTTGTCTGTCAGTACAATGCCATATGTTCATTGGTTTACCAAAGTGTTCCATTATGTTGTAGCACCACTGTCGTCTGTGTGGGAGGATCTACTGCTGGAAGTGTGTGGACCAGTGGGTGATGACAGCACACAGCAGGTAGGGGCTTACTCCACTCTCACACAGCAGGTAGGGGCTTACTCCACTCTCACACAGCAGGTAGGGGCTTACTCCACTCTCACACAGCAGGTAGGGGCTTAATCCACTCTCTACACACTCTCACACAGCAGGGTAGGGGCTTACTCCACTCTCTACACTCTCACACAGCAGGTAGGGGCTTACTCCACTCTCTACTCTCTCACACAGCAGGTAGGGGCTTACTCCACTCTCACACAGCAGGTAGGGGCTTACTCAACTCTCTACTCTCTCACACAGCAGGTAGGGGCTTACTCCACTCTCACACAGCAGGTAGGGGCTTACTCCACTCTCTACACTCTAACACAGCAGGTAGGGGCTTACTCCACTCTCACACAGCAGGTAGGGACTTACTCCACTCTCACACAGCAGGTAGGGGCTTACTCCACTCTCACACAGCAGGTAGGGACTTACTCCACTCTCTAACAGCAGGTAGGAGCTAACTCCACTCTATACACTCACACACAGCAGGTAGGGGCTTACTCCACTCACACACAGCAGGTAGGGGCACACTACACTCACACACAGCAGGTAGGGACACACTCCACTCACACACAGCAGGTAGGGGCTTACTCCACTCACACACAGCAGGTAGGGGCACACTCCACTCACACACAGCAGGTAGGGGCACACTACACTCACACACAGCAGGTAGGGGCTTACTCCACTCACACACAGCAGGTAGGGGCACACTACACTCACACACAGCAGGTAGGGACACACTCCACTCACACACAGCAGGTAGGGGCTTACTCCACTCACACACAGCAGGTAGGGGCACACTCCACTCACACACAGCAGGTAGGGGCACACTACACTCACACACAGCAGGTAGGGGCTTACTCCACTCACACACAGCAGGTAGGGGCACACTCCACTCACACACAGCAGGTAGGGGCACACTACACTCACACACAGCAGGTAGGGGCACACTACACTCACACACAGCAGGTAGGGGCTTACTCCACTCACACACAGCAGGTAGGGGCACACTCCACTCACACACAGCAGGTAGGGGCACACTCCACTCACACACAGCAGGTAGGGGCACACTACACTCACACACAGCAGGTAGGGGCACACTACACTCACACACAGCAGGTAGGGGCACACTACACTCACACACAGCAGGTAGGGGCACACTACACTCACACACAGCAGGTAGGGACACACTCCACTCACACACAGCAGGTAGGGGCTTACTCCACTCACACACAGCAGGTAGGGGCACACTCCACTCACACACAGCAGGTAGGGGCACACTACACTCACACACAGCAGGTAGGGGCTTACTCCACTCACACACAGCAGGTAGGGGCACACTCCACTCACACACAGCAGGTAGGGGCACACTACACTCACACACAGCAGGTAGGGGCACACTACACTCTCACACAGCAGGTAGGGGCACACTACACTCACACACAGCAGGTAGGGGCACACTACACTCACACACAGCAGGTAGGGGCACACTACACTCACACACAGCAGGTAGGGGCACACTACACTCACACACAGCAGGTAGGGGCTAACTCCACTCTCACACAGCAGGTAGGGGCACACTCCGCTCTCACACATCAGGTAGGGGCTAACTCCACTCACACATCAACATTTGTATATGTTTGTCTGTTAAACAAGACACAGATTTATGTAACCAGCTCTGAAGTTTAAGTGTTAGTAGTGACATGGCTGGTTGTCTGTCATGTGATGCCAGTGACATGGATTGTTGCTCACACTATCGACCACTGGTTTTCGGTGGCCCAGGCCCTTTGTATATGAATAATCCCCACCAAATTCCTTGTGGCGATCTGTTCACAGCAAGAAGGAGAGAGTTTGTGACGAGTGCATCACCCACAAGCAGAGCATGGAATCTGACAACAACACTTCCCTTCTGTCAAACATCAGCGATGACGAGGATATTGATGAGGAATTGCTGCGGTCCCTGACTGTGCGAGGGTCGTCCCAGTCAACTGATGATCTCAGCTCCACACAGGGTGAGTAGGTGCCCCTATTAGGCTTGTGTGGAGTGGGAGCTCCCTACAGTCTCCTAGAGACAGCACATGTGGACAACGATGGGAAGCAGGGGGTACAATGTGTGACCCTGTGGTTGTGTGTCATAGTGCCCTGACAACTTGTATTGTTACTTATAGAAGGGAATGGGAGTTGTTTATCGTAAATTATAAACCTCCGGTGACGTCATCCTATTGTTCTCCAGTCGGGTTAAATCTCATAAACAGGGACGTTGTAATGTCCCTGGGATTTTATATGATACCCCTGGGATTTTATAGGATATTCAAGTCATATTTGCTATATAATGTGTTATAACATCCCAGGGATTTTATATAATGTCCTGGGTATTTTATTAATATAACTTCTGTTCAGATTGTAACGTGCAATGAAATGTAATATCAAATGACAAATGTTTTCTTTATATTCTCGAGGATTGAACTCGCAACCTTCTTATCTGTAGCCCAGTGAGTGTACCACAAGGCTACAGAGGTGTTGATAAGCCGCACTGCTTTTTAGAATGTCCTTTTCAAGATCTGTACGCCAGCAACAGATATTTTACGCCCGTTTCCTAAGGTTCATGGAAAGCATGTTCGAAACATAAAAATGTTGATAAATGTTGTTTTAAGGTTCAAAATCGGTTTATAAGTAAGATAAAACACTTCCCCTCGGGTTGTTATGATATTTAAAACCCTTTCCCTCGGAAAATCCCTCAGGATTTAATCACTCGGGATGCAGGTTTTAAAAATCATAACAACCCTTGGACGTGTTTTATCCTATACATAAAACATTGCAGGGAGAATAAACCATGAGGGTGCAGCTGCGAGTGGTTTATTCTCCTTGCAGTGTTTTATTGTATGATAAACAACGACGAGTCGTTTGTTTCTTATATGAGATATCAACACAATGCACAACCTCTTTAAGGATGTTGATAAAATGTACAAGCTTTAAAAATATTTAGCTGTATTTGAATAATATTTGACTCCTTGAATTGAATCCGACCTCTGCAATGTCAGACAAGTCTATTTTATGAACAGGTGGGTTAAGTTTGGTATTTCCCGCATATTCTCAAAATCCTCACGTCGATTATCAGTACCTTTTCTCCAAATACCGACTGCCATATCTCTCCCACTTTTGGATGCGATCATTCAGCCACTGTGTTTATCTGTAGCCCAGCAACATCTATGGGAACAACTCACAAAACACTTCCCTCTCAAAAATAACATTGTCCAAATTACGACGTCATCAAGCTGCAATCGCATGTTCGAATCTCCTGAAATCACGTTGATAGAACATTGTTTTATCGTGAAACACCACGCTTTGTTCTTCAGTGTTCTTTGCGATTTATCGCATAGCTATCTTATATTGATACTATATAAAGTCAACTTAAGGTTTGTCTAGCCCAGACTTTTTTTCACCAGTACTGACAGACATAAAATAACACACACTCACTTTACTTCACTCAGTGAATCATTGCCTTGAGCGGAAGGCCTGGGGTTCGATCCCCGGCCGCGTCATACCAAAAGACGTCAAAAGAAGGTACTTGTTGTTACCCTGTCTGGCGCTCGGCATTAAGGGGCTAAAACAAGGACTGGTCAGCTTGGAGTCAGTATACTGTGTCTGAGTGGTATATTCATGTTAAACTGCGGCATGGTATCTCAGTGAGCTAACACTATAAATTGGCATCAGTCCGGACTAGTACAAGCAGCCACACACACACACACATGTACATGCACGTCGCTATATAAGTGCAATAATCTTGGACGCGACGTTAAACCCCATTTCACCTCACCTCAGTCAGTAAATCATTACCTTGATTGTAGCAATGTGTTTACATTGCATTAACATGACAAACCTCATACCTGAAAAATATACGGAAACATATACCTTGACTGTAGCAACTGCAGACGGTTCAGTATTTATCACATGTCTAAGTTACCTCTCCTTATACATGGACCAAGGAATGGAGTAATTCTTGCTATTTATGTGTCATTTCCTGTTATGAATATCACTTTCGATAAAGAAGAATACATTTAAGATGTTCATATTCAAAATGGGGATATTGTTTCATGCCCAGATGAGACAACGGAATCGGACACCAGCAGTCAGATCCTGCCGCCACCCCGCTCCACCCCAGGGAGTCCGAACGCCACGGATGAACACAAAGTTCAGAAGATGCATGATCACAGGTCAGTCTAGAACCAGGTTCTCTGCAAGTTTCTGTCACCGGTTTGTCTGGTCCAGATTCCATTATTTACAGCCGTCATGATGTAGCTGTAAAATTGCTGAATGAGGATGTAATGACAAACAAACACCGATACAGTTGTCCTTGGCTGCATCAGAATAGTTCAAACTTTGAACAGGGGCAGTGTTCTAAGTTGTTGCAAGTCCCTGTGCAGAGTTGCATCCCTTTGTTGTGCTATGATTCAGTGATAGCAAGTTTGGATCCCAGATTCCCCTGGAATGGTACCTTTATTTGTTAGCATGTTCAATATGTATCACTTTTGTCTTTCTTCTCACATTTGAAGTGGCATAAAATCCACAAGAAATGTTTTTTGTTTTATACATGATTGCGTAGATTGATTTTCATGATGTCAATCACTGTATTGTCTGGTCCAGACTTTATTATTTACAGACCGCCCTCATATAGCTGGAACATTGCTGAATGCGGCGTTAAACAACCAACAACAACAACATGACGTAACAGCAACTATATGTGTCTTGATAGTTGAGGGAACAGTAGTCGTCTATTATTTCTAAATGCTTGGGGGGGTGGTCGGGTAGCCTAGTGGTTAAGGCGTTCGCTTGTCACGCCGAAGACCTGGGTTCGATTCCCAACATGGGCACAATGTGTGAAGCCCATTTCTGGTGTCCCCCGCCGTGATATTGCTGGAATATTGCTGGAATATTGCTAAAAGCGGCGTAAAACCATACTCACTCACTCACTCTAAATGCTTGTTCTTCAAATCTGTGACTGTCAATTCTTCTGTACAACTGAGCACATTCTGAAAGATGTTATTCCCATGTCAGTGTGAGCGTGCAGGTACTAGTGCCCCCTAGGGGAGCAACTGTGAGTCCCGAGCGGGAGGATCCCTTCCACGTTATCACAGATGAAGAAGTTTCTAAGTCTCTGACTGAGTACGACCCAGACACACTCAGTGCCGCGCTGAGTGCAAAGTGAGTGTGGGGTGTGGTCACAACAGTAGCTAGAGTCTTGTAACCTGTGTAACACTGTAGAACTGGTGCATGTACTTTTCAGGCCACAATGAACTGATCAGTAGATTAGTAGAACTGATAAGTAGAACTCATCCATAGATTTTCGTCTAATTTCTTTTCAAAACTGAAACAAAGAATTAAGTATTTTTTTGTAAATTTTGTTAATTGTTTCTTTAACATTACAGAAGAGCGGGATGACATTTGACGGTTCTAGTTATTATTGTCAAGTTGATGGGTTTTGAAGTGAGATGAACTGTTATTGATATCTCATAGTACATTCATTTTGGCCTGTAGGTTACAAACTGTAGTTGTGTTGTGTCTATGTAACTAAATTTGGTACAATCTCATCAAAACCTGATCTTACTCTTAAAAAACCATCTCTCTGCATAAGATCTGAGGATACCTCCATAGATGGTTGTGTCAGGTAACTCATCTTTTCTCAATCAGAGTTGAGGCTTCTAAGTTCTCTGGAGGGTATACAGTCAAGTCTTGTTAATGCGACACTCGTTAATCCGACAATCAGCTTTATCCGACACTAATGATGGGAACCGGTTAAATCAGTGCAATTTAATCCTGTTAATCCGACAGTATCGCATTCTGACTCCGACACACCTAATTTGCAGCGAATTACCGAAATCACTCATTAATCAGTCTCGTTAATCTGACACAGTGATCAGCGTACTCTGTGGTCATCAGCCCGCGAGTACACAGCCAGTGTTTTGATGCGAGACGAGTCGGCTGGTAGCTGCATATTACAAAGCTGCAGAGATAAACTTGCTTAACAATAAACAATTAATGCTTTAAATAAAGAAAACAGGATTAATCACATGCTTAGATTACCGCAATCTCATGAACACAGATACAAGTTCTCGCTATCGCCGAGGACATCCATAGGCGGATACAGAGGGGGGGTGCGGGGGTGCGCACCCCCCCCTTTTTATTTCGAAAAAAATCTTTATTTCTGTATAAATTACCACCAAAGACAATAAATAGATCTTAGTTGTGCACCCCCCCTTTTTAAAAAAAGCTGTATCCGCCTCTGACATCCCAATACAGGTCACGCCAGAAGAACCTTTTGCGAACCATGATCGACGAATGTTGGTACTTAATTTTGTTTATCCGACATACTCAATAATCCGACATAATCATATGCAACCAGCCATGTCGGATTAACGGGACTTGACTGTATTTGTGGCACATATGGTGTTTTTCTATTGTAAGATCAACATTTTTGAATCAATACAGTAAGGAAGTGAATCTGGTTCATTTTAGCTGTCAAAGATGTCCAGGTTTGTTCAGGGTTCCCCTGATGCGACCTATGGAGGTGTTGAAAGATCTTCCCACAGTATTGCAGAATAAGACCAGATTCTAATGGGATTGGGGCTGCATTCTTCCAGTACATACTTGACTTCATTATATCAACAATTGGCAGTATATAATATGAATATTTATATGATCATTACAAATAATTTGTGGAAAGAAGTCTACACCATACTGGCTTTTCGTCTGAATGTTGATGTAAGATCTGGCTTTGTGAATTTTCTTCAGAAATCTTTTAGAGGACATTTTTCTTTTTTTAATCAAAATTTCACACTCCTGTAATAATTATTATATATATATTTCCATTATGAGATCTAAAATTAAAAAACAACTGGAAAAAAAAAATATGCTGATTTTGTTAAAACTTCAATAAATGAATCCCTCAAGGGGAGGTTACTCTTCCAGGACTTCCCCGTCTCAGTCTGTTAAACATCAGTGATGTGCTATAAAGAAGAAAGAAACTCTAAGTTAGTGATATTGGATAGAACAAAACAGGATATTTCCCACAAGAATTGTAACAAACATTACCAGGGTTTCACTGTACTGATGTTTGTCATGCTATGTTGGTTGGTGGGGCAGCCTTGTGGAGAAAACATTCACTTGACACATCAAAGGCCTTGGTTTGATTCCCCACATGGGTACAATGTATAAAGCCCATTTTTGGCGTCTGCCGCCATGACAATGGAATAATGATTAAAGTATTGAAAAGAATGCTGACTGTAAGCCCTGTATGGTGGTGGTATTCTGTGACACTGGTATTTATTGTTTTGTGTGTACTGTGTCTCTGTCTCTATTCCTACTAACGATCTGAATGCTCCTTGCTACTAAATGAATTAATGGAAGCTGTAATGTACCAGGTTGTTTTTAACCCCATCAGTGTTAGGTTGATTTCATTAACCACAGATGCAATTTGGTGACCTGCAAAATGTCACTGACAAAAGTGTCAATATCATCTGGAACACATCCAAAATACTTTGAAAATGTTTTGGGGCAATCTAATAAAGTATACTGAAAAATATTTTTAGCTCACCTGACTGAAACTCTAGTGAGCTAGAAAATACTTTTCAGTATACTTTACTATGAAGGTGTTGTGAGGTATCGTATTGATCTGATTTTGATGCGATAATGGCTACAAGAAAATGTTGTTTGTGGCATTAAAATTCTCACTTTGCCTCCTTTTCTTCTATTTTCTGACATCACTTTTGATTTAACCCACTATTGGTCTTTGTCACCATAATAAAGTTAGAACATCATTAAAGTATTTCTTCATAATTCAGGTGAGCTTCAGTGTCATGTGGCTCAACTTTATTTTAATGCTGCTAAATGCAAGTTACATGTGAATTGCTAAAGAAGTGTACAAGCTGCAAGACCGGCTTAATGAACACTGCTCATTTGAAACATATGTGGATATTGTTTTGAAGAGCATACATACATCTGTAGTCTGACATACAGACCCTGACACAAATATATCCAATGCAGAGTATGCAAGTCTGTGATAGTTGGAAAGTCTGGATTACTGCACATCAGGCCGAAAATTAAGAGTCTCTCGGGTCCTTTTTATGATATTTAAGAAAACTTAAACCCCTGTTTACCACCTACGTAAAAAGACTTCTAAAAAAGTCTGTAAACCAAGAAATACTAAAGATGAGCCTCTCCTTGTGATTACTAAAGTGTCTGATTTGATGTTGTCTAAGCTTGCAGCAAGCCCATATTCTGACAGGGATATACACCTAGAAACAGGACAAGCACCACTTACTGTATATTTCCCTGTGTAGTAGTGATCATGTCCTTATTTAATGTTATGAAACAATAACATTTATGTTTGTTTATGTAGTGGCATGCTTGTATTGAAATACAGAAACTGACATCAATTATCTGTTAACATGTTTTGTTAGTGTTCCATGACATTAGTAATGTGACAACCTTCAATTGCTCTCTCTGCTTCTTTGCATCCTATATAACCCAGTACCTGCAACCTTCTGGAGGAACACACCATGTTCTTGTAATGGCCATTAGGTATTGGGGGTATCAAGAGCATACATCAAAATAATGTTCATGTAATATGTACATAAATATTGAAGGACTGGTGGAAGTTTGGGATTTTGGAAAATAAGAAGAGGCTGTGCTTAATTTTTTTGTAGGTTTATATTTGAGTATTGTGTTAATGTACTGCTTGTATTTATTCGTCGATGCTTTATGTAGCAACAAACATGGGACTGTGAGAAACGGTTTCAACCTCAGTGAGTAAACATGGTACATGATGTTAACTCTGTCATGTTCGAACATTGCTTGCTGTGTCAAGTGTCCCTTATTAACCTATACATTATCCTTAATGTAGCCCATATATGCTTGTAATAATCATGTCACTTAGTTGTTGTTTATGATTCATTCTTCCTTTCATTCATTGTTCTGAAGCTTCTATGTTTTTTCTTGCAATCATTTTGTTTCCTTTTGATCATGTTTGTTTATTGTATGACAGGTTGATGTTGGTTGTTTGGTGGCAGAATGATGTGTTCATGTTGTGTAGATATATTCACAGTTCTTGTTGTGTAGATCTATTCACTATTCATGTGTAGATCTATTCACAAGTCATGCTGTGTAGATCTATTCACTATTCATGTTGTGTAGATCTATTCACAAGTCATGCTGTGTAGATCTATTTACTATTCATGTGTAGATCTATTCACTATTCATGTTGTGTAGATCTATTCACAAGTCATGCTGTGTAGATCTATTCACTATTCATGTTGTGTAGATCTATTCACTATTCGTGTTGTGTAGATCTATTCACAAGTCATGCTGTGTAGATCTATTCACTATTCATGTGTAGATCTATTCACTATTCATGTGTAGATCTATTCACTATTCATGTTGTGTAGATCTATTCACAAGTCATGCTGTGTAGATCTATTCACTATTCATGTTGTGTAGATCTATTCACTATTCGTGTTGTGTAGATCTATTCACAAGTCATGCTGTGTAGATCTATTTACTATTCATGTTGTGTAGATCTATTCACAAGTCATGCTGTGTAGATCTATTCACTATTCATGTTGTGTAGATCTATCACTATTCGTGTTGTGTAGATCTATTCACAAGTCATGCTGTGTAGATCTATTTACTATTCATGTGTAGATCTATTCACTATTCATGTGTAGATCTATTCACTATTCATGTTGTGTAGATCTATTCACTATTCGTGTTGTGTAGATCTATTCACTATCCATGTGTAGATCTATTCACTATTCATGTTGTGTAGATCTGTTCATTATTCATGTTGTGTAGATGTATTTCTATTCATGTTGTGCTGTCATCTATTCACTATTCATGTTGTGGAGATCTATTCACTATTCGTGTTGTGTAGACCTATTCACTGTTCATATTGTGTAGATCTATCTTGTCATGTTATATTAATGCTAAGGACATTATGTTAAATTCAACTGATGGGTTGATGAGATCAGTGCCAGTGTCACATGTACATGTGTACGTTGGACACACCCTTGAGGAGTAGTTTTGTAGCATACTCACCAGGGGTGTTGTCAGCTATGTTGGTAGGTCTGACAGAAAATGTAGCAATTTTGAGAATTTCTCAAAAATGATACACACTATCATAACCAAACTTGTCAGTTGACCGGTGTGTACACAATAAAATCTTGATTTCTTATTTATACTGTTAGAAATGCAAAATGTAGACTCCAAAACAATTTGAGAGAGTGTGCTTGATTGATAGCTGCAAACATGACAGGCTGGATAGTTGAACATATTGTTGAGCATGTTACGTACGATTTGATTGGTTACAGCATGACAAGCAGCATGATCTTGTCGGCTGAAGAGTTGGAGAACGGGGAGATAAACCGGCAGAATGAGATCTGGATCAAGCCAGGAAAGACCTTTGTCGTGCCCATCACCATCGACACAGTCAACACCGAGCTGTGCTGGGAGTTCACGTCTCAACCCAAGGTAAGAGATGCATAGAAAGATGGTGGCCAGGCTATCTCAACCCAAGGTAAGAGATGCATAGACAGATGGTGGCCAGGCTATCTCAACCCAAGGTAAGAGATGCATAGAAAGATGGTGGCCAGGCTATCTCAACCCAAGGTAAGAGATGCATAGAAAGATGGTGGCCAGGCTATCTCAACCCAAGGTAAGAGATGCATAGACAGATGGTGGCCAGGCTATCTCAACCCAAGGTAAGAGATGCATAGAAAGATGGTGGCCAGGCTATCTCAACCCAAGGTAAGAGATGCATAGAAAGATGGTGGCCAGGCTATCTCAACCCAAGGTAAGAGATGCATAGAAAGATGGTGGCCAGGCTATCTCAACCCAAGGTAAGAGATGCATAGAAAGATGGTGGCCAGGCTATCTCAACCCAAGGTAAGAGATGCATAGAAAGATGGTGGCCAGGCTATCTCAACCCAAGGTAAGAGATGCATAGAAAGATGGTGGCCAGGCTATCTCAACCCAAGGTAAGAGATGCATAGAAGGAAGCTGGCAGGATAGCCCAGTGGTTAAAGTGTTTGCTTGTCTTGCTGAAACCCAGGGTTTGATTCCTGACATGTGTATTATGCGTGAAACTTATTCTTGTTGTCCCCATTGTTATATTGTTTGACTATTGTTAAAAGTGGCATGTAACTATACTCACCCCACTGCAAATGTAACATTGGTTTTATTGGCGTCCTACATTATGTGATAAACAAATCTTGAAATATTTGCACCAAACTGCCATTTATTTGATGCTTATCATAATAACGTTCCTTATACAGATATTGGCTATCAATAGAATCATCGACCAGATCAATAAAAGACCTGGGTGCCGTTGTACAAAGCAATCTTAGCGCTACGGTGATCGTAACTCCCACACCTTAACATAGACTTACGACAGTTGTAGCGCTAAGGTTGTTTTTTACAATGGCACCCTAGTCTCTATATGTTATATCATCATCTTTAAGCTTAGAGAGTGGAACCAGCCTCTGTGTGTCATGCAGTTGTCACAGATCACTGAAAGGGAACGTGTGATGAGAAGCCTCTGCTTGTGTTGCAGGATGTGGTGTTCAGCGTGAAGTATCGGGAGAATGAGTCCACCCCCGTGAGTGAGGCGGAGGACCTGGTGCCGCCCTGCAAGTGTGACTCCCACAGGCAGGCCGTGCAGGGCACCCTCACAGCCAAACAGACAGGGCTGTACACACTCGTGTTTGATAACACATACTCCAGGTATGTACAACAATGGAACTGACCCGTGAAGATTCCGGGTTAGAATAGGTCTTCAGCAACCCATGCATGCCGTAAAAGACGACTATGCTTGTCGTAAAAGGCGACTAACGGAACGGGTGGTCAGGCTCGCTGACTTGGTTGATACATAGCATCGATCCCAATCCCATTGTCTGGTCCAGATCTCGATTATTTTACAGACCGCCGTCATTTAGCTGGAATATTGCTGAGTGCGGCGTTAAACAACAAACAAACAAAACAACACAATAATGGAACTCATATTTAAACAAGGGGTGTTTATATATGTTTTGGAGCAACAGATTCGTTACAAATTTTAGTTCACTTTGACAAAGTCAATGTGAGCTCATGTCATGAACTGTTGTCCGTTGTACATTAAAAAAATTGTCAGTCGATCCATCCGTCCATTTGCGCAGAATTAAATACTCTACCCCTCCAAACCAATTGAACATTTTAATATCATTTTCATGTGTGATTTTCGTCGTTGTTCTGACGTCACCCACAATGGGATGTCCTGAGATCTTGGTTTAGCAGTAGCAATTTCTAAGATTTGATTTCAATGAAATTTGATGGTATTTGTATTTAGTTTAGTGACGTTATTAGTTTAGTAGTTGTGCTTCTAAAATAACCTCATTTTATTTCACCTTGTATTTGTTTTGTTAATTATGCTGCATAACTTACTTGTTACCACAAAGTCAAGCAATGGCTGGCTTCAGTTACAGACCTCTGGTCATTAGATTTGGCTCAAGTTGAACATTTACACAACACTTTGAATTGCTCTGTCCACTAACAAGCAAGTGGTCACCATGTGTTTTGGGCCACCTTTCTCAAATGTGTTTGTTGACACTCCAGTGAGGGGCAGTCCGACAACATCAGCTAATTAAGGACAATGTGAGAAAGGCTGGTGATCATACAAGCTCTGTTGATCTAACACCAGTCCTTAAATGGTCCACGTTTGTTTTTGTAGTGTTGGTGATAGGGGTTAATGGCTTTCTGAACATGTTTCCTGGAAGAAGGTTAAAAGCTAAATGGGTTGGAACCCAGGCTTTCAGTCCATATTGTATGACTAGAGTGAATTTGGACTTGATATGATTTAGGATAGTATATACTTGTTTGTACACCTTTGACAACATGACATGCAACATGTACCATGATACTCCTGTGATATGCATGACAATGTTCTGTACCATGACATAATATAATTTGTAGCAGGATCATAAGCTGTACATAGGGTTTTATACATCCGCCGTTAGGCTGTATACCACAAGATGATGGCTTTTTGCTTTAAAGCAGGGTAAAAAGGATTTATTTTGTCTCTAAGAAATCCACATGCAGCCTGTCTTCTTTATGGCTGGGTAAAAGGGAATTATTCTCCTGATGAGAAATTTATTTCCCGCCAAGGCGGGATACATAGTATTTTATCAAGATCATGTGGACCAATCAGATCTCACTATTCTGACACTCAGGTATGATAATATATCATATCCTTGGGTAGTGATGTTGTGTATTGATACAAGAAATAATATGCGTAGATATACATGAAACATGGTATGAAACTGAAATGGACTGTCTCCGTGGTCTGGTGGATAGCGTCTGTCGGAGAGTGGAAGGTCGGTGGTTCAATACCTGGCCATGTTATACCAAAATATGTAAAATGTTTGTACTTGTTGTTAGCCTGCCTGGCACTTGGCATTAATCACTAGATTGTCTGGTCTAATCTGGTCTGGTCAATTATTTACAGACCGCCGTCATATAGCTAGAATATTGGTGAGTGCCGCATTAACAAACAAACAAACAAACAAACATGTAGGACTGAAAGGATCTAACAAAAAATTGTCCTGACTTAAAGATTGGATGAAGAACATATCCAAATGAAAAATATGGTTTTGAAGGGCTGACATCATGTTTGTGTTTGTTTCAGAATGACAGCTAAGATGATCCACTACTCCCTCCAATCAAGAAGTAGCAGCTGATCACATGACCTGGCTTCTGAAAAATGGCTGCACTCTGATGTTGTATTTGCACTTAATGATAGCCAACATAATATGAGAGTCCTGTTTATTTGATTGTATATTGGCTGTGATAGGCGTGTACTGCACGAGCACTGACACAATTCACTCATGACACAGCTTGGCTGTAAATGGCTGAAGTACTTCCCCTGGGGATTTAAAGGCAGCTTTACATAGAGTTTAGAGGGGACATAAATGGTGATTGGTTGGTCATAATGTCTACAGAACATGGATGGATGGCCATCTCGGAGAAGTAGCTCCCAGCAGTGACCTGGCAGATAGTGTCTGGACCGCTGGTCACATCTTGACCACTGGTTTCCCTGGCCCTGGCTACACTACAGCCTGCTGGGATATCGTCATGACTGATCATGGCATAACTGCAATAACTCATACCTTGATAATATGCAATGTACCACGGGTTCCTGTCGGAAGGCTGTCTGTCGTTGGTTGATGAAATACGGTTGTACTGTGTTGTACTGTGTTGTACTGTGTTGTACTGCGTTGTACTGCATGTGTTCAGTGTGACAGACAGGGGATGTAATTACCCCGACTGTTGTATATAGCCTTCAGATCATGTCTTGCCATTTCCATGTCATACATGCAATACTGTACACGTGACATCTGCCCGGAAAACTACTCATGTTTCTCACCACTTGCCTGTAACATAAGTACTGAATACTGTAATATATAGACATAATACTGTAACATAGAGACTGAATATTGTAACATATAGACTGAATATTGTAACATATAGACTGAATACTGTAACATTGGCTAAACACTGTAACATATAGACATAATACTGTAACATAGACAGAACACTGTAACATATAGACATAATACTGTAACATATAGACTGAATATTGTAACATAAAGGCAGAATAACAGGGTCACTTGACGCTGGGCATCACAGGCTTTTGCCTTGTGCACACATGGAAAGTGTGACATGAGCACTGGAAACATACATTTGTTTGAAAGTAGCCAACATTAACTCCTGCAGTACCTTACTTGCACAGTCACGTGAACAGGGTAGGCCGACATAGGGGTGCAGTCTGGTAAAATGTATGCAGATTTTGTGTTGGTCTACAAATCAGTAGTGAGCTAGATCTGTAGCTTGTCTTGTATACAGATTCTATATAGCAACACAGCACTATGTCATGGAGAAATCAACTGTAGCTGCATCGGTTTTACTTGTTAAAATGTTCTTTCAGAATGGCCAGTTAATTCCTGTTTTAGAATCAACTACAACTACAATAGCATGACTTCATTGTAATGGTTTAAGTGTCAAGTTGGCTGTGTCACACATTTCTGTTGTTACTGTTTTATTGCTAGATGTCTTAGAGCAGCTTTTACTTATATACTTGTGTTTGTTTGGAAAGGGTGAAATGTACTTTTTATTTGTTGTGAAATAAGGCAAAGGTTTTACATGTTTTACAAATCTGTTTGTTCTATGACGTGCTTCAGGCACAAGATGTTGTGGTTTTTCCACTGTAACTGGACTGATTATTATGTTAATATAATGTATATGTATCTTTTGGAGAATAAGTGTGAAAGTTGAAGGAAATTGTACAAAAGTTACTTATTGATTTATGACAGTGAAACCTCCACTAATCCAGACAATACGGTAACAGTCAAACCCCTGTTTATCCAGATACTAATGCTCACAATGAAACCCTGTTCATCCATACAGAAATGTCTCACAGTACAACCCTGTTAATCCAGACAATAATGTTCACAGTAAAGCCCTGTTAATCCAGACAACAATGTTCACAGAAAAGTCCAGTTAATCCAGACAATAATATTCACAGTAAAACCCTGTTAATCCAGACAATAATGTTCACAGTAAAACCCTGTTAATCCAGACAATAATGTTCACAGTAAAACCCTGTTAATCCAGACAATAATGTTCACAGTAAAGCCCCATTAGTCCAGACAATAATGTTCACAGTAAAACCCTGTTAATCCAGACAATAATGTTCACAGTAAAACCCTGTTAATCCAGACAATTATGCAATAATGTGCACAGTAAAACCCTGTTAATCCAGACAATAATGTTCAAAGTAAAACCCTGTTAATCCAGACAATAATGTTCAAAGTAAAACCCTGTTAATCCAGACAATAATGTTCACAGTAAAACCCTGTTAATCCAGACAATAATGCAATAATGTTCACAGTAAAACCCTGTTAATCCAGACAATAATGTTCAAAGTAAAACCCTGTTAATCCAGACAATAATGTTCAAAGTAAAACCCTGTTAATCCAGACAATAATGTTCACAGTAAAACCCTGTTAATAAGTCAGTTTCCAGGATCGCCAACTTGCCAGAGTCAGGGAGTGATTATTTTTTTATGAAGACATCCCCAACAGTAATCTCCAGGATGGGGTGTCTGGGTTAATGAGGTTTCACTGTATATGATATGCTGGTGTCTCCACTTCAATTTTCAATGTGAAGACTATCCCCAGTGTTTTATTGATCAGTAATTCATTGCTGTATATATTATATGTTGCTTTATACCAGGGTGTAGTACTATTGGTTGTGGATGGTTGTAGTGGCTAGATATTCAGGATTGTGGAGCACTGTGCAGGAATATACACATTGTGTAGATCACCACCATACAAATATTTCCCATGTTGGTTTCATGGTGCTACTCAGTACAAACAACTCTAATGAATCATGTGATAATTTTGAGAAGTGATTTTACAAAAAGTGGAATCTTACATATGAATAAAATTCATAATCACATGTAGCGAATATGTTTTATTTTAATATATTTACATGAACAAGAAATACTGTGTATGAGAATTGTGTGGTCAAAATGATACTTCAGAATGAAGATTGTGTGGTCAAAATGATACCTCAGAATGAAGATTGTGTGGTCAAAATGATACCTCAGAATGAAGATTGTGTGGTCAAAATGATACCTCAGAATGAAGATTGTGTGGTCAAAATGATACCTCAGAATGAAGATTGTGTGGTCAAAATGATACCTCAAAATGAAGATTGTGTGGTCAAAATGATACCTCAGAATGAAGATTGTGTGGTCAAAATGATACCTCAGAATGAAGATTGTGTGGTCAAAATGATACCTCAGAATGAAGATTGTGTGGTCAAAATGATACCTCAGAATGAAGATTGTGTGGTCAAAATGATACCTCAGAATGAAGATTGTGTGGTCAAAATGATATCTCAGAATGAAGATTGTGTGGTCAAAATGATACCTCAGAATGAAGATTGTGTGGTCAAAATAACAGTTGAGAATGTGGATTGTGTGGTCAAAATGACAGCTGAGAATGTGGATTGTGTGGTCAAAATGACAGGTGAGAATGAGGATTGTGTAGTGGAAATGACATCTGAGAATTAGGATTGTGTGGTCAAAATGGCACCTGAGAATGAGGATCGGATGGTTGAAATGACTACTGAGCAGGTGTTTGAAAGGGTCCCTTATTATGTATACCTGTTGTTTTTCAGCCATTGAACTGAAACAGTCGGTTCCTGGATGACTGCTTGCCATTATACTCTGAAAGTCTTTGCTTGGATAATGGTGCAGGGTTTGTGTTGTGACCTGCTACAACAGTAATATTGCTTATTGGCATGGAACACTACTCACTGATACTCACTGACTTCAAGCAGTTACAAATTGAAAACATGCTACACCCTTAACCATCATATATGGTATTATTTCACAAGGGGGTTTGACCAGGGGAGATAATTTCCAGCATAACAATCTTTTATATCGTGTGGAGCAAATTAATAATTTGTCTTACGAAATCCACCCGTCCTTCTTGCTGAATATGGAATGTTATATTAGTCAGAAAGGAAATGAGGTCTTTTATGTGACCCAGAATGAGAGAATGATATTAAAGATGCGTTGAACTGTTTATAGTGTGTGGGTATGGTTTTACGCCCTTTTGGCAATATTCCAGCAATATCACGGTGGGGGACACCAGAAATGGGCCTCACACATTGTTCCCTGGCGGGGAATCGGACCGGTTCAACCACTAGGGTACCCCACCGCCCTGAACAGTTTATATAAACTGCCGGCAAAAGAAAGTATGCACCCATGTTGGATGTTGGCTAAAACTGAACCAACTAGAAATAGTTGTAGGCGGCTGAGCCCACTGGACTACTGGTATGCCCCCTTATGTAGCAGAGTGAGTGAGTGAGTTGGCTTCAACCCCCCTTTTAACAGTCGCTTTTAACAGTATTCCAGTTATATCACGGTGTGTCAGCTTAATGTGGGAGGAAAGCCCGAAGTGATGCAGGTCTCAGACGTTTACCACTTGGGTGAAACCCAAAACGGGTATGGTGCTGACAAACCTAGAAACATAATCGGGGCGAACCAGGATTCGAACCCACAATCATAGGTTTTAGGATATGTCCAAGAGACGCAACTCTTCACAGCGAATCGCGGCGCCTTAGACGACTGGGCCACCCGTGCACCCTTATGTAGCAGAGATAACACGACATGGAGTTATGTCATACCCAACCTTTATTCTAGATATACTGAAACAGCACATAATGGCATCACAAAAGTAGAAGATTTACACGTGTGTATAAAAATAAGGTAGAAATATACTATGCATTTTTCATTCAGAACATGACACGGGTTAAGAAATAAATAGGAGACGGCCGACAGTCGACCCAATATCAAACTAGAATGTACAAAAAACTACAGAATTATACAAGAACCTTATGTGAAACACTTCAAAACATCGGTTCATCTATCTACATTCGTACACTCGGGTTCGTCGGAAGTGACGTCATTAAAGGAACCATGCTGAAGGCGTTCGCTGGTTCCGCGGTCACTCGAAAATTTGTTCCGGTGTCAAATCGGGCTAGCGCAGGACCCAGCGAAGCTGTAGACGTAGGCTTAATGGCGAGACTACTGACAGGCACAAGAAAGCGCACTACTGCTATGGTTTGATTTTTGCAAGTCTGGCTAATTTACGCTGCCGTTCTGAACACTCTGAGAAATCACCAACTCTATATACGATATGCCGCATTGTGAAGACGCGCTGTTTACAGCAAGAAGCTCTCGTCTATTGGTATCTGGTGCGTGATGGCACAGAGCTCTACCGACAAGATTGATAGCTACGCCGTCAGCAGACAATGGCTGCCCAGGGAGGGGCTGTAAAGCAGCTCTGTTAGGCTGCACTACCAACATTCTACATGGTTCAGCTGATGAATAAATCGCCTGGTCAAGATGACCCTACGTACCAAATACTCAGTAGCGACGGTGTCCATTGGACAGTTTGAAAGGTGTACATCATAATAAGGACTGGAGTCACACTCAAGTGTCTAGTCTAATACATCCACATGACTTGCTTGCCTGAAGCGGTCTTATCTAGTTCTCCAACTGGGATAAGTCCATGTTTAAGTATAGGAGTACAATAGTTTTATCGCTAAAACTGCTCTGTGCAAGACGGATCAAGATTGTTAGATGTTTTGAACTCTTGAAGCATATTACTGAAGTTATCACAAAGATTTGGCAGAAACAAGGACAGAATCGTACAAAAGGTCATAATATGGAAACAGCTTCTAGTGTTTTGTACCCGCGCAATGGAAAGACAAGAACGTCCAAGGGTGAAGGTCATGTGACCTTCGGAGGACAGATAATAGAAGTCAGCATCACAGATGTCCTCCATCTTATTTCTTCCAACCACCGTAATTCTTGGTGGCGTATGAAGCCTTGCCGTATACCCTTCCAACGATGGGGTCCCCGACTCGAGCATATCCGCTTGCAGCACGTGAGGCATAACCTCCCGCTGAATAACCCCCGTAGTTGGGCTTCACGTAGCCGTTGGTGACGTACTGTGGCCTTGCGTAGCCGTTGTTGTAGTTGGCGAAGCCGGCCCTAGCTGCGAAGCCTCCGTAGTTGTGTCCAACGCTGGGTGGGTAGGTCTGCTTGGTGTAGCCAACGGTTCCAAAGTAGTTGCCGTAGTTGTCGTAGTCGTTGGACCTCACGTACGAGCCGCCGTACATTTTATTATCCCCCTTACTGCTTTCATACCCGTAGCTACCCTTATCGTAACCCTTGCTTGTCACGTATCCGTAGTTGCCCTTCTCGTAGCCCTTGTTGGTTGCGTAGCCGTAGTTGCCCTTCTCGTAGCCCTTGTTGGTTGCGTAGCCGTAGTTGCCCTTCTCGTAACCCTTGCTGCCGTCGTAGTTGACGTAGCCGACCTTCTGATAGCCGTAGCCGTCGTCCTTCACCAACTTGTAGATAGGATTCAAGATGGCGGTAGCGCAGGGGACGTTGTAGGCGTGGTCGCAGGTGAGGATGTGTTGGTTCCAGTGGGTGCCGGCGGGACAAGAGAACTCGACGGGCGACCCCCAGAAACAGCGGAAAAACTTGGTGCAGTCTGTAGGATGGGCGTAGAAGTTGAAGAGAGTCGGGCAGGATCCAGACGCTGAAATGAATAAAAGATACATTGTATCTGTAGAAGAGAGGTGTTGGCAGCTACATCAGCATCGAAGGGCACCTGGGTAGTGTACACACTGCCGCACGCCCCTCTCTGTGGTAAGGTAGTCTATACTCATGGAAACAAATAAGGATTCGTTATCAAAGAGTTAGTGAGTGAGTTTATTGCCGCTTGTGACATTATTCCATCAATATCACGACAGGGGACCCCAGGAATTACACATTTACCCATGTGACAAATCGAACCCGGGTTTTCCGTAAGCGAACGCTTTAACCTCCAGGCTATCCTACCGCCCCTGTCTATAAAGGAAGGCACGACATTCTGTATATCCCGAGGATAATCAGAGAATTATGAACCATTTTCATTGAATTCAGCAGTAGTCATTATCCTTCAATATTGCTTTGTGTTCCCTTATTTGTATTCATCAGTATATACCCCGACTTGTAGAAGTATCAGCTATTACGAGGTCATGCATCTCCCATACTTAATCATACAATTAAAATAGCCTAACATTTGCATTGTACTCACACGCGTTGGGAACTGGTATAAGGAGGTAAACAAAACTCATTATGTTTTTTAGTGAAAAAGTTACTATATTTAACCCAAAAAAAATAAAAAAATATTTCATTCAAGTAAGGTCAGGTGATGAGAGACAAACACGTTATTAAATATAATTCGAATACCCTGTATGTATTAGTCTCTCTCAGCGATATTTGCATTATGAAGATACACTATAGGTATAGTTGATTTAAGACACTGGGACCGATTATCTAGTAGCACTTATACTTAGAATGATTTTATGACAAATTTGCATTCTGTATCATCAAAGAGACTCGGTGACTTGGTTGATAGCGTGCCATCGTACCCCGGCGTTGTTCATAATATCAACCACTGGTCAAGACTCGATTATTTACAGGCTGGGAAATTGGTATGTGCATGCGGCGTTTAATAACCAACAGACACCGTTAACCCACTGTGATAAACACCAGTAGACGCTGCCCTCAGGGGGGCATGTGAACACGAGCCTTCATGTCGGAATATAACAGTCTGCCTTGGAACATGGGGACTGATCTTTTTGAGTCCGTGCGAACATAATAAGGCCAACAGGATGGCTGACATGCGCTCGTTTTTAAACTTCCTCAAAAACTGACTTCCTTAAAGTCAGAAGGAAATCAAGCACGATCTAGCTGTCTGTTGTGTTGTGGAACAAATTGACAAACCTGCTCCGCAAACATGTCGTCTGCTCATCGCACACTCGGGGCAGATTCGCGCGGGAAATGAGAGGGTAAATAGGGACAACGAGCTACAGCTAACGACATCATTGACATCGGCAGATCCATTGCGTGACTCAATTCTAAGTAAATGCTAATACAAGCCCTCGGATTGTCGGGCCTCAGCATGGTTAATGCGACGGGGAACAGGTTTGTGTTAGACACGGGGACTTCGTGCTGGAGACATGTCAACATCGGTGTTTTTCAAAGCCACCTCTGAACTGTTTGCGTTTTTTTTTGCAAACACAACACTTAATAGAAACACTATTGAAACTATAAATATTAGCCATTTGATATGAAGAAGTCTTAAAAGATGCCGACTCATATCCGCCGTCATTGTAGCAAACGTTTACTGAACAATATAATACCCTTGCCATTAATGACTGGTGTCAATGAGGTATGAGAATTGATATGCTCTTGCACCCCGACCCCTACCCTCCACCCCCACCCCAACTGAGCCACGAAAATGCATGTTTCATCCTACGCCCCCACCAAAGAGAGGCAATAGCGAAGGCCAAGCCAACTCTATTTCTGAGAGATGGACAACTACTCGAACGCTTATAAACAGAGCAGTCAAAGATAAAAAATGAAATCATAACAATATACGAAATAAAATCTTTTCAAAAACAGAAGTTAAATGAATACTAAAAAACTCTATATGTGTTCCCTACTCACACACATGAGTCCTAAAGAGGGTCAGCCGAAATTGCTAAGGCAGAAGGCGACCTCTTGAACACCCGAAGCAACAACGCTCCTTCCCCTCTCCCCCAACACCCCCACCTTCCACACACACAAAAACAATACGGACCTGTTACATACTTAGTTGCTTGTACCCCCGCACATTTGGTGAAATACAAAAAGTAACTATTTTGAATTCTTGCATCCATGCATATGCAACAGCATATAAATGATATTCCACATATCATGTTGCATTTTGAAAAGACAGTAACAGTTGTTAACGCATCAACTGAAGTAAGAGAAGACTGTCTGTACTTACCACTGGAGGCAGCGACCTGGAACAGGGCAACAACTGGAACAGACAATTACAATAGTCAGTCAGTGTGGAGGAACGTACTATAGATGTGTCTGGCCAGACAATAGCGATCAACACCATGTCGTTGTCTAGGTTAGACCAATCGGATCCGAGGTTTAATCATTGAAAAGATCAGTTACACCCAAAGGTGTGACCATTTCAACGATAAATCATAAAATCAGTGGTCTTACCTATTTAAACCTTGGCCACCATTAAAAAAACATTGCTAATATTTGTAAAACCATGGCCCGGCCCTCAGGTATACGAAAAAGATATGTTCGTTGGCATGCTGGATGCCCTTTCAGAGAACAAATTGTATGCAGTGACCGAAAAACTATTTTGACAAGGTCTATGTGAAGGGTGTATGTGTGTATGTGAACGCGGGAAACAAACAGTCGGAGACGAATGTATACATTTTGCATATTAAGTTTCATGTGGGCTGATCTAGTTCGTTGAGCTTGCATGAAGTCAGAATGCAGCAGAGTACAAACATTACATGCTTCTTGCTTGAGTTTGATGTGTACCAGGAGATTACCACTGGCACAATTACTACCCAAGGACACGACAACCCCTATGCCCGACAGGCTTCGTATCTGGCCCACTTCGACCTAAACTTGTGACAATACCACAGCTTCGTTTAGCAACAGCTATCGTCCCCAATAAAAAACGAAAATCCATGAACAAACACACACTGGATCCTCCCTGTTTAATAAAACCGGATAATCTTAATTCGTCAATATTCCTAAGACGTGCAATACGCTATTGAGACTTCTATCAGACAACTAGCCGCCGTCCCGCGTGTTTTCAGGCAGGTTGCCTGTTTGTCTACCGCTGTCCTCGCGGCAATTGGACAACGTGGAATATTCCTGATATAATCAGAGACAATTCGGCGTCACGCGACCAGGGGAGGTCTACATCCTCCTGTGTGTGCAGGATTAGTAGGGGACGCTGGTCATCTACTTCCTGGCATTGATGTGGATGGTTCATCAGGATTAAGTTTGAGTCCGACCTCATCAATGTTGGCGATTTGTGGGAGGGGGTGGCCGATTTGTTTGTTTTGGCATTAGATGTATCTATCGACAATAATAGTCCAACTGTAGGCCAACTCATTTCCGCATTGAGGGCAGCGATGACATGCCCGGCTAACGACTTCTATTTAACAGAGACATGGGGGCACCCTCTACAATGTATGGGGCATTGTTCTGTGGTATGACAGTTGTAGAAGAAGACCCTGGGGACAAACACGACGTTGTCGTTACCACTGATGGAACAGTATCACTGAACGGTTACTATATAGTGAAATTAAACGCATAAAAAAATCAAATTTGAAAACTATATTGATGAACCGCATCCTATGACTATTTGCGTAATAGTGTCAGGAGTAGTATTCAAATGACCGCCTGTACTCCTGAATAATTAATTTGTTGTTTAACGCCGCACTCAGCAATATTCCAGCTATATGACGCGAGGGTATGCGCGGAAGATTACTGTCAATATTCTTAAGTTCAGCTCTTCCAGACCTTTAAGGGGCGGTCGGGTAGCCTAGTGGTTAAAGCGTTCGCTCGTCACGCCGAAGACACGGGTTCGAATCCCGACATGGGTACAATGTGTGAAGCCCATTTCTGGTGTCCCCCGCCGTGATATTGCTGGAATATTGCTGAAAGCGGCGTAAAACCAAACTCACTCACTCACTCACTCCAGTCCTATAAAGTAGGACCACGGTTATCTGTATTTTTAGTTATCAACGATACCTGAATTATATTTCAAGACTATAGAATCAAGAATTCTAGAATTAATAATTTGAAGCGATTGTCAATACTCTGATGCACGTGTAAACAGCGACATGAGGAGCCCGTTGTTGTAATGTCCCGCCCAAAGTCACGACGTCATCTGATGTGCACCCTGTACAAGAGGAGGCTGGTCGGAGATAAGTTTAAATGCAAGCATTATCTCCGCCGCAACCCTGATGAAAAATAATACGGTGTTAGAGTCGAGATATAGTGACAGGCCGAGGTCACTGACATTAACATATACCTAGATACAATCTCCCTGGAACTATGTAGAAGCCTGCTCATTGAAACACGCAACCTTCAGTAGACAGTATTCACGTTTAACCGTTCTTCCCACAAACTAGGATACTTTAGGATCAATTGTGTAGATCGCTGTTTTCTTTACAAAGAAAAGTGTTAATTTTTCTAAATCATGTAAAATTATTTATAATTCTAATTTAACAAATACATCTTTAAGATGTTTTACATATATTATTTGATAAAAGTCTGACACAAACGATGCCCTGTTGGCTGATGTCCTTTTTTTAAAAGTGTCTGAAATGATACTCAGAATATTTCTTTAAGTCTTTTACTTAAACAACATACCCATGTATTATTTTATACCATGACAACCTTGCACATGGCCGTCAGAGGCAGCTGCTGAATACTTACAGTGAGAACATCTACTTGGTTGATATATTCAAGACATTGCCAGATTGAGAACTAAGTGCTCATAGCAGGTAATTTGGCAAACATGGGAATTTTGGGCTTGGAACATCCTTATTTCCTAATTTCAGAGGTATTCTGTTTCCAATCGGAGACTGTAAAAGTAATTATTAGAACTACTTCTTCGAAATATCTTTAACGTTGATGTATTAAACGAAATTAGGAAATGTTAATTCTAATTCGGCAATGTTTACTGCCATTTTCTTTACATGAGAAATATCGGTCTCTGACAATGCCTAGATAAACCCTGATGGACGTAACCGGGTACCAGGGCCCACTTGCACAAAGCGATCTTAGAGCTACGACTATCGTAAGCCTATGTTAAAGTATGGGAGTTTGGGTGTCGCATCAATGTGCCGCTCTACAGTCTTGCACGGACACATTTGTTTCGATGCATCCAGGTCAGGGGTCGAATCTAGTACTGGGCCACCTTGCTATATTTAATTGAGTTGCTTGGGTTGAACGCTGTTTTGATTATAATTTCAGTTGTATGACATCAGCTTAATGTCGGAGGAAAGATGGTGTGGCAGGTCGTACATGGTTACCAGGGAAACATTTCCAAGAAACGTAATCGGTTCGAAAGGTAGATTCCAACAATTTCTTACTTGAAGTCACCGATAAATGAACGAACAGATAGAGATAGAACTACATATATAGTAATGACAAATGTCCTTTGTATATCAACCTATTGAGCTGACAGTCGATGGCATAACAACATCAGGTAATTACTATAATTCCATTACCAGAAAATTAATAAACCTGGCGTCGAGAACGATTGGAATAAATAAATTTCAGGAAATTTTGCCATTTCTCCTATTTAAGAACCTTATGGGATTTAACAGCATGGTTGCATTTCCCCGTGTGTATTATGTGAATATGTAAAATTGGAAAAGATGGAATATAATACAACATATCCCTGAATAATTAATAATAAATCTCGTGAAGTGTTCTTACCTGCCAGTGAGCAGATGACGGCGTGCACCATTGTTACAGAAGTGAGGTTCTCTAGCGCTAGTTATTACTCCTCGGACCGTTAGCTACTGAGAGGGAGAAGGGGGGCCCCCAATTTATAGTCCCCCTCTGGACGCGCGTCCTGTTATAAAGTCAACAGCTGAAGCCCCTTCCTACTCAACGAGTAGACAAATGGAACGCGCCGTAGCTTTGTGTGTAAGACAAACTGCTATTTGACTGGCTGTGTTTGACTCCCTCCCTTCCTCAACTCAGTCTTTGTAGAAATTATCCCATATTCCGTCACGATCAAATGACGGTGTTGTGATTGACCAGGGTAAACTATGGGCAGTGATATGTACCTCTACAACTCTGTAATAGTGTTTGCTTTAAAACCGCATCCTCTCAATTTGGTTAAAATGTAAAGATATATTTTATTTCATTTGAACGGACTATTTATTTGCCATCGTCTAATTAGAAAGTCAGGTTTTTTTCTGCCTCTGACCAAAGGTTAAACACGCCAATAACCAAGACCCGTGTTTCTTTCGCCGGTGTCAGGGAGGAAGATGACAACCCTGTGTCATTATAAACGATTAAGACAAATTTGTTCCCCGCGTTTGGACTGGAAGTGATATTTGCCCCATACAGTGGAATTTGTAAATGCATTAAAAGATTTGCTCTTTGCTTACGTGAATGTGCGTAAGACGATCTCTCTACCTTAAGACGAGCTTTGTCTGAGTTACCTGAGGAGGGGAGGGGGTGCGGGGAATGTGCAGGTATCAGGGATGTACAGATATATGAGACGATGGTCACTGATCGTTGTGCTGTAATGTCCACCTCCACAGATTACTGTCACCAATGACCTCTCGGACACAACGTTACTGGAATACGTTCTGTCCACAGTGACGTCGCCTGTGTTTAAGTTCACGCATGTCGCTGTGCTACCTTCTGGTGTACTGACATCGGTCCATCGGCTTCTCAAGTCTTCACGTTCACTTGTGTCAGCACTAACTACAAATGCGATTACACACGTTTCATCCAAAGATTTCTCAAAGTTGTATTCCATTCAGAACGTTATGTTAGATTAAAACTATAGACAATTTATATATAATTAAATCCCTTACACCATTGAGGGGCGGTCGGGAAGCCTAGTGGTTAAAGCGTTAGCTCGTCACGCCGAAGTCCCGGGTTCGATTCCCGACATGGGTACAATGTGTGAAGCCCATTTCTGGTGTCCCCCGCCGTGATATTGCTGGAATAATGCTAACAGCGGCGTAAAACCATACTCCCTCATCCCATTAAACGCCAAACTGTGCCAATATGTTATTCTCTAAGGACCGCCATCGATGGTACATCTAACAAAGCAATAGTTGTATATATACAACTGCAAGATTAACTGAAGACAAATAAAACAGCAAGACCATCAATACCTGAAGAAAAACACCTATCTGTATGTACTTTCAACCTTCTTCAGTTCTCGGCAATTAGCCAAAATGTTTTCTGAATTTGAAAGGGTTATACCAGTCAAAGTAACATTTAGATGGAACCAAGCTAAAATAGACGCTGTGGTGCTACTTGAAAGGGCGTAAACTCCGACACACTCTATATTCTTTATGCAGTACTTGGCCATCGGTCCATGGTATCTTATCTAGTACGTTATACAGCTCAGTCCTGTTACACATTATAACACTGTGTACAGCTTACACTTCTTGATAACATAAGTTGTCTAACCTTCATTACATGGTAAATAAAGATAGCTAAATATCTTAAAACTGTTTGAAATAGACATGAGTGTATTAAATTTCCCCAGTGATGGGTGGACAATATTTCTGGAGTAAGTACATATGGCGAAGACTTGAGAAGATCCGGGGTAGAACAGGTCTTCAGCAACCCATGCTTGCCGTGAAAGGCGACTAACGGGATCGGGTGGTCAGGCTCGCTGACTTGGTTGATGCATGTCATCGCATCCCAATGGGGTGGATCGATGCCCAGCTACCTATGCTGGATCGGGTGGCATCGTACTCCCACGGCGTGAATGTTGCTCACAATATAAATCACTGGATTGTCTGGTCCAGACTCGAGTATTTACAAACCGCAGTTATATAACTGGAATATTGCTGAGTGCGGCTTTAAACAACCAAACAAACAAACAAAACGTTTGGCGGAGATCTTTATACACATTACAGATCATCAAACAATGCTACTCCGACACACTTCATCACTGATGCTGTTGGTATGTGTGTGCAAATATATTGTTCAACTGCTAAGGTTCAATATAAAGATTTGATGCAGTGTTATTTGTAACTGAGCGCAACTGGACATCACAACCTAATACACAAGTATGACGCATACCTAGAAGCATCTCATAATGAACATACTTTTAATATATTGCAGGTATTATATATACTCACAATGGCATGCTCTTTGCATGTTTTTCTGTTATTACAAGCATGTCTAATCAATAAAACGGCGTGGTAAAATGTATGTCACTCTGTTACCAACACACTCAAGTGACAGCTGTCATAAATAGTCCGTGTTTGTATAAACTGTAACCTTTCATTTGCACTTTAAGAAAAAACAAAGACAAAGAATAAAAAATATATAATGCACAAACATACGGTATGCTAAACAATATTGAAATGTGCGTTGTTTCGAATCAATATTGCAGCAGACCAGTACATGGGCAATCAGCTGCACTTCAGTACGCTCGGGGGCCGAATGCGGGGAGATATACGGCGAGACGGCGTTAATCCAGTCGGTGTCGTTTCCACTCAATTCGCCCGAATTAACAAATATCCGGATTGACGAGCAATGTTTAAGAGTATTACCTTTTATATATATGTAGCAGTTCCAAACAGAATCCCCCGGAATGCGGGGTTCCCGGACTATGGGTGTTTCACTGAACTCCCCCGTGTAATTATATACTTGGATTTATTGAACACTGTGTATTCCTACTTAGTCTTTCTCTCATAAACCCATTTAATTTAATTTAATTAAAACTTACCAGAAGCGTTTGTTTCTGCATGTGAACTAAACTCCCGGGTAAAAGAATGTATACACATGAAAAGTTGATTTGGCCCAAAAAATTCAAACCTTTTCAAAATGTTACTGAGCTGGAAACAGTCGCCAGAACTTAAAGGGGCCATTTTGTATAGATGGCATATTACCTGTAGTGGCGTTTAATTGCTGGGCCCGTTAATTAAGTTTGAAACTGTAGATTAAAATTGCTCTGTTATCTGGAATCTGAATGCATATTACAGAGAGACCGCTTAATTTTTTTTCCAAAACATAACTATGAAACCCATATCAACTACATCACCATCGAAAAAACATTTCTTGTTTTTTTTCAAGATTAGACACCACCAAACATGGGTGTATGCTATCTTTTGCCCGGCAGTTTATGTGATTATTGTTGGCATTCTGTGGCGTGATGGCTGCGGGGGACCCGTATGTACCGGAATGACGTAGTAACTGGTGGTTGGGTTGACGCTTAACGTAACACCTCACGCTGGCCCTTGGGGCGAGGGATTTCGACTGCAGCACACTGGTGAAGATAAATAAATGGCAGGAAAACGTTAAATAATTAAAGAAAATTTTAAAGGGAATCGTTTGACCCAGGTCGCGTAATACTGACGCCTTAGCACGTTGGGGAATATTTGACAGAATTAATTAAGACTCACGGAGTCGGAGTTTAATCTGATGTTGGGCCTTCATGAAAAGCGAGTCTGATTGCTTGATCTTCTATACACGTAAAAGGATTAAGATATTTGCCGACGCAAAATAGACAATTATTTACAAAGTGACTGGATGAATCCACCTGCTTCTTTCGCCATTGTATTTAGTTTTCGCCCAGTTGCTTATGTGCGCTCAGCTACTTGACCTTATATGGTGGTATTTACACACATGTTCTGAAAGACCAGGGGGAGGTTATAGTGTGATCCCATATTGAATCTGATGATGGTTCCACCATCTGCCCAGTGACACTTTGTGACCATCTGACCACATACAGCTGACCTGTGTTTGTCATGGATATAGGGGGCGAGCATTACAAGAACACAGAAGTACATCAGTAGGTAGTCCTACTTTATAATACTGCGTTATCGAGTTTAGTTTGTTTTGTGTCTTGAATTTCGCGCCTGGTGTCTACTTAAAATTTCCGTTGCAATGAAACACATGTACAATTCAAATTATACCAGGATTATATTCCAGGAATTCAAGAATACTCAGATGGGATGGTCTTTGAATTCGTGAGTGTTGCACGCGGATCCTTTAGTCTATCCCCTATGGGGTTCCGGGTTAGAATTGGTCAATTGATGCTTCTCGTAAGAGTTGATCGAGTGGTCAGGCTCGGTGAAATGGTTCATTGCATTTGACAGTACCCCGACAGGGTGCATCTTTGCTCATTACATCTGGAGTGTTTAGTGCAGACTGTATTATTTACAGACCGAGGATATATAACTGGAATCTTGCCGAGTACGGCGTTAAAATCGAAACCGACAAACTTAAGTCCAAACGTATATCTCGTTAGTGCGTTTTCTTGTTAAGATACGAGTGATTGTCATTAGAAGTCTGTAACCCCTTGAAATATGATCGCTTCCGTGAATATAGGCATTAAATATTATTTTGAATGTATAAAACTCGATGACTAGTCCAGCTCATTGTGTATCTAAGAATAAAAATGAAAACAGTTACAGAAAAAAAAGAACAGGGTGCCGTTGTGCAAAACAACCTTAGCGCTACGACTGTCATAAGTCTATGTAAGCTATCGGAGTTACGATCACCTTAGCGCTAAGATCGCTTTGTTCAACGCCAACTTTATAATTCTGTCACAACATCACCAACCAAAACTGTGTTGAAAACTTGAAATACAGAACGTGTCGTTATGGTTCCAACCCCAACCCCCATCCCCAATACACACTTGCCACATTGGAGCTCGACAAGGAATTGGCATATGTCCTTCTCTTTTCACTGTCGGTGATCGAACAGTTGAAATACCCCGACTGCAATGGCATAGCGGTAAAAAAATTACGTACATAAAAAGTTTATTGTAAGTTTAATAATAACTTTATCTCGTTTTCGTCTTAAATGTGCGTATGTATGATGAAATATAACCCTCTGCCTTCAAGTAAGTGATTA